GAAAACGCCCAGGGTTAGTGAGGATGTGGAACAACCACATACATTGCTAGATAGGAGTATAAATTAGCACAACCACCTTGGAAATTGTTTTGTAGTATCTATTAAAACTAAATGCAGGAGGCTCCTGGGTGGCTCAGTTGGTTAAGTGTCCAACTTCAGCTCAGGTCATGATCTCACAATTTGTGAGTTTGAGCCCAGCATCAGGCTCTGCTCTCCTATCATAGAGCCTGATTTAGATCCTCTGTCTCCCTCTCTCTGCCCCTCCCATACTCACACATACACATTTTCTTTTTCTCTCCCTCTGTCTCTCTCTCTCTCAAAAATAAATAAGCATTTAAAAATAAAAATAAAAATAAATGCACACATATTCTTGACACAGCAAATCTACTCCAAGGCATTCTATTCTCACCAGAAATATGTACATATTTCATTAAGAAACATGTTCAGAATGTTTAGAGCAGTACTAATCATAACAGTCAAAACCAGAAAATTATCTAAATGCCCATCAACAGTAGATGAATGAATAGTGAGAATGGTCTACAACAAAATGCAAGAATATGGATAAAGCTCACAACATAATGTTGAGTGAACAAATGGCTCATACTCTGATCTGTATCTATAAAATAAAAAACAAGAGAAACTAATCTATGCTAACAGAAGTCAGGATAGAGATATTCTTGTTGACTGACTTTGAAGTAAGACTTTAAAGTATTTGTTTCTTCTTTGGGTTTTGATTTCACATGTTTATTCAGTAGGCTGGGACAAAGGTGAGACAAACAGGTTACCTAGGAGCAAAATTTAAGAACATGGTTACTCTCACCATGCTTGCCTCACCCTCATCCCAGCCTTGATGTTAAATTTGTGAATACTTATTGAGCAATACCATTGTGATGTGTTTATGTGGGTGGGTTAGTCAGTTAAGCATCCGACTTCAGCTCAGGTCATGATCTCACAGCTCATGAGTTTGAGCCCATGTCAGGCTCTGTGCAGACAGTTCAGAGCCTGGATCCTACTTTGGACTCTGTGTCTCAGTCTCTCTCTCTGCCCCTCCCCTGCTCATGTTCTGTCTTTCTCTCTCTCTCTCAAAAGTAAATAAACATTCAAATTTTCATGTAAATTTTTTTTAAAAATAAAAAAAGAAAGAAAAACCTTTAAATTCTTAGAATAAAATATAGGAGAATAAGTAGTTCTCCCCTTACCTATCAGGACTATGTTCCAAGACCTACCTGAAATCATGAACCAAACCCTATATGTACTATGTATTTTCCTACACATACATACTCTTATTGTACTATATCTTATTGTATCTTGTACTATATCTTATTGTACTATACTCACCCTTCTTCTTGTGATGATGTGAGATGACAAAATGCCTGTGGTGAAATGAAGTAAGGTGAGTGATGTAGGCATTGCAATGTAGTGTTAGGCTACTATTGATATTCTGACATGTTGTCAGGATTATCTATTTCCTGACTGCAGTTGACCAAGGATAACTGAACTTCAGGAAGCCAAGCCACAGCTAAGGCTGTACTACTGTATAATAAATGACCTCAGGTACAGGTGGTTGGGTGGCTCAGTTGGTTAAGCATCTGACTTCGGCTCAGGTCATGGTCTCATGATTTGTGACTTTGAGCCCTACATCAGGCTCTGTGCTGACATTTCGGAGCCTGAAGCCTGCTTCAGATTCTGTGTCTCCCTCTCTTTTTGCCTCTCCCTCACTCATACTCTGTCTCTCTTAAAAATAAATAAACATTTAAAAAATTTAATAATAATAAAAAAATAAATGACCTCAGGTAAAGAAAAAATTTTTGAGAATATTCAGAAGCACATGTTAGAGAAAAATATTTGACTACAGCAAAACTAAGAACTTGTGTTTACCAAAGACATCTTTTAAAAAGTGAAAAGACAAGCCATAAACCTGGAAAAAATATCACAACATAAATAAGTGAAAAGGAATTATTAATCAGAACATATTTTTTAAACCAATGGGAGAGGAAAAGATAAATAATCCAATAGAAAAATACATGAAAGACTTGACCAGTTACTTCAGATATAACAAAACCAGAATGGCCAATGCATATGAAAAGATGCTCAAACTCACTACTAGGGAAATGCAAAGTGAAATTATGACGTATTAGCATTGCACATCCAGTAATTAGGCAGAAAACATAAACTTGAGTAATATTAAGTATTGGCATAAATATAGAGCATATTCCTCTACTGTTGGTAGAATACAAATAGGGAAAACAGTTTAGATTATTAATAAAATTGAAAATATATAAGCCCTAAGATTCTTTGGTATACTCTCCAGAGATACTCTTGCAAATATATACCAGGAAATGTGTACATGAATGTTTATAATAATTAGAAGGAAAAAAAGAATGTCTATCAAGAGTAGAATATTCTACAGTAGTGAATAGATAAATCTCATTTTTGATGGTTAAGCAAAAGAAGCAAATCTTAGAAAAATAACTTAGAGTATGATTACATTTATATAAAATTGTTAAACAAGTGGATATGCTCAGAGATGGTAAAATTATAAAGAAGAGTAATAGAAGGATTATCATAGAAGATAGGAGAGTGGTTACATTGGAAGAGAAGGAAGGGGTACAATGAAGAGGTGCATGTGGTGGCTTCTAAGATAGTGACAGTGTTTTACTTCTTAACCTGAATAAAGGATATATGGATGTTCTCATTATTCTTTATTTAAAAATTTTTTTTTCTTTACATTTATTTATTCTTGAGAGACAAAGAAAGAGAGTACAAGCAGGGGAGGTGCAGAGAGAGAGGGAGACACAGAATCCAAAGCAGGCTCCAGGATCTAAGCTGTCAGCAAAGAGCCCAATGTGGGCTTGAACTCATTCATGATATCATGACCTGAGCCTAAGCCAGGCACTCAACCAACTGAGCCACCCAGGTGCCCCTCATTATTCTTTAAACTGTACATACTATTTTATATACTCTGATGCTCTGCTGTATACATGATATATTTCAAAATAAAATTATTTTTAAAAGTATAAAGCATTCTGAAACTGATATTGCACTGTGTGTTAACTAAAGTTTAAATTTAAAGAATAAATAAAAGCATATAGTGCTCTACATATGTATATTTGTGTATGAACGTGTGTGCGTGTATTCCACGAAGGAAAACAACAAACAGAATTCTTGAGGTACTGAGGTGCCTGAGTGGTCAACTCTTGATTTTGGCTTCGGTCATGATCTCATGATCCATGAGATCGAGCCCCACACGGGACTCAGCAATGATAGCGTGGAACCTGCTTGGGATTCTCTCTGCTCTCTCCCTGCCCCACCCCTGCATGTGCATACATACTTTATTTCTCTCTCTCAAAATATGTAAATAAACATGTTTAAAAAACAAAAAGAGGGGCGCCTGGGTGGCTTAGTCGGTTAAGCGTCCGACTTTCGCTTAGGTCATGATCTCTCGGTTCGTGGGTTCGAGCCCCGCGTCAGGCTCTGTGCTGACTGCCAGCTCAGAGCCTGGAGCCTGTTTCAGAGTCTGTGTCTCCCTCTCTCTCTGACCCTCCCCTGCTCACGCTGTCTCTCTCTCTCTCCTAGAAATAAATAAAAATATTAAAAAACAAAACAAAAAAAGCTTTCTATTAAAAAAAAAAAAGCAAACAGAATTCTCAGTGACAAATTGTCAGTAAGCTCTTCACTAGACTTACTTAAATCCTTTCATATGATTGGCTGGCTGAGAGAGGAGCTTGAATTGACTGAGTTTACCACAAAATTCTGATCTTTGTATATACAGTTCCTACTAAACATATGCTTGACGAGTGTTATCATGTGCTAATTAATCTATCAATTGAACTATTCATTCTCAAGTTCTCTGGTTTCATTTCTATTGGTAAAAGAGAAAGAAATCCTTAATTTTGAAAGATAAAAATCCAGCTGAAACATGCTCATTCTTTTCTTAACCTTTGTTTTTTGGGGGCACCTGGGTGGCTCAGTCAGTTAGGTGACAAACTCTTGATTTTGGCTCAGGTCATGATCTCACAGTCTGTGAGATCAAACCCCACATCAGGCTCTGCACTAACAGCATAAAGCCTGCTTGGGATTCTCTCTCTCTGCCCCTCCCCGACTAACTCATACTCTGTCTCAAAATAAATAAACATTAAAAAAACTTTATTTTTTTAAAAACTAGCCATATAGCTAACATAAGCTATATCTTCCTTGAACAGAATCAGAAGAAAGTTGCTTCAAACTCTAAAGCCATTAGTATGTGTGACATTGTGAAAATACTTATTAAGATGGAAAAAAATCTTGCTTGGTTAAATTATTTATATTAATTGAATTAAGACTTCTTTCAATATATGAAATGTAACAGATTTAAATAATCAGAACATTCAAAAGTTATTTACTATGGTCATGCCTTTAAGAAGGACTCAAACTATCTCAAACAAATTAGCATCCTAATCTGAAAATAGTTTTTGAAAAGATTTTGTAGCATCACTTCCCATTAAGTAGTCTAAAAATTCTTTATATCTAACTCAGAATCCTTTTAATACAATGTTAACACACAATAAACTTTGTTTTCTAGATGACAGGGTGTGGATTTACCTAGGACACAGTGGGGCCCTAGCAAGCACTCAACTCCAAGTCTCTACTGGATAAAGTTGGAAGGTAAAGGGCTCAGAGCCCTATCTATTTGGCTCCAGTGGCTCCAAACCAGCTCCCTGATATTTCCCAGGGACCTAGCCCAAAGCTTGTCTCTGTCCACATAACCAACAGTTGACTATCATTTTGTTTTCACTCTGACTTGAGATTATTTGTAACTTTTCCCCCCATCTCTGCCCACTTAATTATCCCAGTAATCAAGAACTTATTTATACTTCCAGTGAGTATGAATAAATACCTAGAATATTTTTTAAATCCTAAAAATGTTACCTATAAATGAAGGAAAGAAATTCATGGGAACCTTTTATAAAAGAAGTATATTAGAGTCTTTTTCTTCTCCTCGTAATGGACAATTTCATCCAACAAAGTATATTCCCTTCTTGAATACAGTACTTTTTTTACAGTAAATACTCCCTGAGGTCAGAGGCTATTTTGTTTTAGTTTTTATACCTGGCATACTCCATTGGACTGTCACTGTGATATAATCTGTATAGGTATTGGAAAACGTTAGCTATGTTTAACTGAAGCAACAGAGGCTTACTAAAGCTTTGCCTTACATGATTGTTGCTTTCTTCTTCTTCTTCTTCTTCATCAAAGTCTAGACCCTGATGGGCAATCTCAGTAGTGCTGTTCTCTTGAAAGAGGTTGTTCTCCAAAACAGACACTCTGGTAGCCTCAGTTGTGACTTTTACTTTCATGCTATGAAAGCCAGTGGAGACCAATCCCACTTGCAGGTTTACAGGCTCCCCCTCGAACAGCAAGAAGTGTGAGTTTATCCCTTCTTTAAAACCAGGGGGTTGGTAATCATGAGGAGTCACTGCAAAATGAAAAGGGCAGAAAACCAAGAAAACTGTGAGTTTAAGTTAATCAACAGTTAGATTAATTTTTCACATATAGCAACAGATCTCTCTTTCAGATGCTTGCAAAAATCTCTATATATAAAGTATTACTTAACACTTAAGAGGGAATTTGACTAGGGGTGCAAGGGTGGCTCGGTCTGTTAAGCCTCTGACTTGGGCTCAGGTCACAATCTCATTGTGTGCTCAAGCTGTGTGTCAGGCTCTGCGCTGACGGTGTGGGAGCCTGTGTGGGATTCTCTCTCTGCCCCTCCCCAGTTAATGCTTTCTATAAATAAATAAATAGATAAATAAATAAACAAACAAATACATAAATAATACATACATACATAAATAGAAGGAATTTGACTAGTGGTCTCCACTTACCTGCATTATAGTAGTGGAGTTTCATAGTAAGTATAACATCATTAGGAAGGGGTCCAAGGTTCTGCATCAGTATGTACAATTTACGGATCAGTAGAACACTGGCTTTCTTAATATCTTCACTGTTTGTCCCACTTTCAAAGCTTGTATTACTGCTATAACCAAATAGAAAAACAGTATACTTTTCAATCATAAACAATATTGAAAACCCATTTTGAAAAGAACAAAACTCTTTACCATATGATCAAGTAAATATAAAGTAAACATCAGGACACTTGAGACTATCTTTAGAATGTAAATTAGAGCAGTGATTATACTTTTTGTAATGTATATACAATGGATTTCTTAGGTAGCAAGTTCTTCTAAGGCATTTTAAATATGACCTGATTTTTTAAAATTTTAAGTTACAAATAACCACATGCCATAACAGTGAGAACAACGAATTTAGAATCAGGAGACTTGACAGAGAAAGACAGATATATGTTTTCACTCACATGTGGAACTTGAGCAACTTAATAGAAGACCATGGGGGAAGGGGAAGGGGAAAAATAGTTACAGAGAGTGGGGAGGCAAACCATAAGAGACTCTTAAATACAGAGAACAAACTGAGGTTTGATGGGAGATAGGGGGAAATGGGTGATGGGCATTGAGGAGGGCACTTCCTGGGATGAGCACTGGGTGTTGTATGTAAGCAATGAATCACGAGAATCTACCCCAAAACCAAAAGTACAGTGTACACACTGTATGTTAGCCAATTTGACAATAAATTATATTAAACAAACAACAACAACAAAAAAGAATTAGGAGACTTGATTGGGTCTGCTGCTAACTAGCTGAATGATCTGGGTCAAGTCATTTAGACACTCTAGGTTAGTTGGCTCACTTGTGAGATAAGCTTATACACATCTCTACACACCTCCAAATAGGAAATCAGTCATCAGCTCTGGGCCTTTCTACTGTCTGGTTATCTGTCAGAGACATCCCTTCCCCTACATGGATTGCAACAATGGCTATCTATTCTTCTCGCTTTTCTTCTTGTCCACATTGCAATAACATTATATAACTGCTGCAACAATATACCTATAGGAAAATCTGCTCATGTCACTCTTATTTAAAATTCTTCTAGTATACCTATCACCTTTCAATCAAATTCAAGAATAGTATGTGTTCAAAATGCCTTTCACAACCAGCCACACCCTCACCTACAACCTCACCTGCATTTACTACTCAGTTTCTTTTCACCCACATGCCTTTGCACATGCTACTCACTTTGCTCATATTGTACTTTTCCCACTTCTTTTCCTGACTCTCCTGAATTCATCCTTTAATAGCTAGCTCATGTATCAACTCTTCAAGGAAGTTTTTCTTGATAATTCCCATACATTACTCCTGTTTATATGTTCCCCTCTAGATTATGCATGGCTATATCTTTCATGTCCACAGTATTGTTTTGTGCCAGCTATAGTAAATATTCAATAAATATTTGTGGGATGAATGAATAAATGAATAAATAAGTTGAACCAAATTAACTTCTAACCCTAAGTATTTTTTATTTCTCTCCAAAATTCTCTTTCCAAATTGGTTTCATATTTGAGTAGCTTCTAGGAAGAACTATCGCTGCAATATATTTGTACAATGCCTTTCACATAGTAAGCATTCAATAGTGAAAAATAATCATAAGTAACTGAGCTGCTGAAGGAAGTGTAAGTTCATAAAAACAGACATTATTAAGTGAATATATTTGCTCCTCTTTTGATTTTAATAAGATATTGTCTACTAAGATTTAACCAATTTGAAATAGGTAACCTGAGTGACAGGGTATGTAGTTTATGGGATCTTTGAGCATACATCATATTTATAAAATCATATCATGTCAAATCATACTGAAGACTCCCTTGCACTCTTTTAAAAGGGAAGTTATTTTTACTGTGGAAGAGTTGATAAGGTAATTTTGTATGAGCAATTATTTAAATAAAATAAATGTTTACCTTTAGTTTCTAGGAAATTAGTAATATGCATTACCTTCTCTCCTCCTTAGTAGCTGAAAGATTTGGTCATTTGTTACTGCTCACCTCTTGGCATATATGCCTTCACAAAAGAGATTAACTTGGTTGCCAGTAGTACATTTGAATTTTAGAGAGTAAAAGGCAACTGTTTAATGTGAGAGAATATGTATGAAAAGTGTGGTATAATCTTTAAAATGCTATATAAATGTTAGTTTATGATGATTAATATTTTAATTCTCATTCTAGAACTTACTTCCTCTTTATATTCTAGTGCTATCTGTGTTTTACAAATGAGAGGATAATTAAGGATGTGACTCTCAGAGAGAAATCCTCAAACTTGCAGTAAATGATAAGACAGAGCTAACAGCACAAAAAATTGAGAATTAGGCCATGTTTCTTTTCAGAGTCTTTCCTTTCACAGGCACTCATTCCCCTGACTTGGAGCCCTCTACCACGCAGTGCTTTTCACCATCATCCACCCCCTCCACTTCTATTCCATCTCATCAGCAAAATTAGATCTTTCTGAATCCAAAAGCTACTGGGATGGGAGTAAATGCTGCTTTTCAATACAACATCTCCTTCTACACTGGGGACCTTCTGAAGCAAATACCCTTGTCTTTGCTCTTTAACCCATTAGTGTATCTAAAATTTGGCACTTAAGACTTAATAGGAAAATGCAGTGCTTTCCAGTCTTTTCCATACAGGGACACACACAGAAAATTACATTTGTATGACATACTGGGACAAGCAGATGAGAATATTTGTGTCTATGGGCAAACAGTTCAAGGAGTTCATCTATTCCAGGCTCAGTCTAGCTATCTTGAGGGCAGAGAAGATCAATATCTTAGCATAGCAATTGAGAAACTTTAGATTAGTTGCTACATAGAATCTTATAGAATTCTTCAACCAACACCATGTAGAGAGCCTCATTAATATTTACTGTTGTGCCGCCCACCAACCACCATTGCCTCCAAGGGCCACCACCATCACTGCCACTACCATCAGGTACCATCTACTGGCTTTTTAAAATGTGTCAGGAATGGGCAACGTTTTGTCTATGCACTGTAACTTAAAAGTCACAGTAACCATATGATGTAAATATTATTCATTCCACTGTGCAGATGAGAACACTAAAATCTAGGGAGGTTGAGTAATCTGTCTAAAGTTAGACCAATAACAGAGTGTTCCAACCTAGGTCTCTCTGCCTTAGGAATTGGAACTATTAACCACCAAGATTAACTGTCTTTAGACCCTGCTAACATTACCTATGAGAAGAGGAAAAGAAGCAAAGGAAGACTCTTCTCTTACCAATTTCATCCATAGATTTCAGAAATTTAAACAATTATTACAGTTTCTTTCTATAATAGAGGGTTTTTGTAGGATTGGTGGGGAAGTTACAAAGGAAATATAAAGCCTATCTATGGCTTCAAGAAGCTTATGTTTACCTCAATCCTGCTTCTTATGTTTATTAAACAATTAATTAGATTCTACCTGTCAAAATCCATAGTGGCTCCTTCTTTTGTGTATTTGAATTTGAACTGGTATATCTCAGTCACCTTCTAGAAATATCAAAGGAAACAGAGAAAGAAATTACTTTAAAAAAGGAAATCCAGAACTTTATCTGATAATAGGTGAGAAATCGTTTTATTGTATACCTACTATAATACTTATATACCTGTTTTTTCACAGCATTACATTATTCAGGAGTAATATTTCCAAATATAAATATAGCTTAATTTTTCTCCTCCATGCTAAAAATGGTTAGATGGAAAATTCACTTTTTTAAGTTTATTTATTATTTTGAGAGAGAGAGCAAGGGAGGGACAGTGAGAGACAGAATCCCAAGCAGGCTCTGCACTGTCAGTGTAGAGCCTGATGCAAGGCTGAACTCACCAAAGGTGAGATCATGACCTGAGCTAAAATCAAGAGCCAGACGCTTAACCGACTGAACCACCCAGGTGCCCCTAGATGGCAAATTCTATTGTTAGTGTTTCAAACCTGGAGAAACTAAGACACAGAGTCAATGACACAGGTGAATGATAATGAAACCAGTTAAGAAACCATCCATTCATGTAACAGATATTTATGGAATGTCTACTTTGTGTTAGACACTGGAGTTAAAGTGGTGAATGCGACAAAAAAGGTCCCTGTTTTCCTGGAATACAAAGCCTAGTGAGAGAGACAGTCAATAAGTAAGTAAACAAATAAAATAATTTCAGATAGTAATAAGTGCTGTGCAGAATATGAAGAAAAAGCTGTTACAGAGAACTGAAGGGTGAGGCACTGATTTGGTTTGGAAAGGCCAAAGATGGCCTCCCTGAAGCAATGATGATTGAGCTGAGCCTCAGTAACTAAAGGGGGTCATGTGCAGATCTGGGGGAGGGTGGGGTATCCTAGAAAGAGATAATAGCAATGAAACATTCTAAAGTAGGGAAGTAAGCCTCTTTCACTCTTTCAGGATCATGAGGAAGCCAAGTGGCTGGCAATGAGTAAGCAAGTGAGAGAGTATAGAAGATGAGGATGTGGAGCCTTATTGGCCATGATAAGGGGTTTGGATTTTATGCTAAGTAAACAAGAAGTATACTAAAAGGTGTTTTAAGCATGGTAGTGATTTGCATTTTTTTAAAGATCACCTTGGTTATTTTAATAGTGCAGAGAGAAGTGGAAACCATGAGAGCAATTAAGAAGCTACTACGGTAATTCCAGGAAGACTAGAATGGCAACAGGAAAACTAGAACAATTCTAAAAGGAACCAGGACTGGGGTGCCTGGTGGCTCAGTTGGTTAAGCATCTGACTCTCGGTTTCAGCTCAGGTCATGATCTCATGGTTTCGTGAGTTCAGGACCTACATTGGGCTCTGTGCTGACAGTGTGGAGCCTACTTTTGTTCTCTCTCTCTCTCTCTCTCTCTCTCCCTCTCTCTCTCTCTCTCTCTCTCCACCTACTCCCTACTCATGCTGTCTCTGTCTCTCTCAAAATAAATAAGTAAACTTTAAAAAATTAAAAAATATATTAAAAAAACAAAGGAACTGGGATCTATGATCCTCGCCCTTTGATCCTACACTAAAACCTAGATACCACTACTATTTGCTCTCCTCTCTGTTAACAAATGTAGAAATAAAGACACATATCCTCATGAGAAACATACTCCATATAAAATGAAATGATTGTCTAGTAGTTGAAGCAAATGTTTGGTCCAGATACATTGTACAGTTTGTCCACAGATCTGGAGGAGGTCCTACAGACAGGTAAAGGGTATAAGTTTAAGTTAGAACACAAAAAAATGCCCTTCATTCATCTGTTTAAGTATTTGTTCCTTGACACTGTGGTATTGAGGATGTTAGATTGATCAGAAAAAGTTTCAATGTTTCTGTTACTTTTCTCTGCTCTAAGATTTGGTCCTCCAGCTCTGCTGATCTTAAACCTTAGCAAACAACTCAATCATAGGTGATCAGGTCCTGGGGAAATTGTCTCATGCTGCTTAAACTCTAAGATAACTAATTCATACTGGACTTAATTTAAAAGAAAAAAATATTTTTCTAGCAAGTCAGTTTACTTGGAAAAGCAAACAAAATTTAGAAGGCTGCTTTATGAGTACAGTAGGAGAGGTGTGTGACACTAGAGGTGCCTACAACAACAGGTTCACCCCAAACAGGCCAGATACACAGCATCCTCTCTTGGCTAATGCTGGGTATAACTGCCCTGTCAAACAAACAATGCCTATTCTTCCTTCGTGCCCATGTTTCACAAAAGATTCTAGCTTTTTGGTACTCTGAGCTTTTTTATTTTTTTAATTATAACAAGAGGAGATCCTTTAGCACTTGATGATTTTATTAACACTTTATTATTTGGCCCCTGAAGCAATTAATAAGAGAGTTATGTTTGTAATTGTTTTACACAAAATGCTAATCCCTTATAACTTCAATCTGACTCTGATTTATGACAGAAGATATATTTACAGCAGGCATTAGTCTCTTAACATTTTATAAAATATTTTCCTGCTCTTGAGATGTGTTGCCTAACAAAGATGGGCATTTAAACCACTCAGTGATGGTTTCTGCTAATCATACTCCATCTATTCACAGATACCAAAGCACCAGCAATGTATAGCCTGTCCTCCTCCCTCTGCATTCCAATACACTGGCAAGAACTGTCAGGCCTATATCCAAAGCATTTCCCAAGTCCCCTGCATTGTTATCTCCCTGTCAAACTACCACTATCTCTTTTCTTTCTTTCATTTTATTTTATTTTTTACCACTGTCTCTTTTCATCTGATCTGCTTACTTGCACACTATTCATCCAGTAATTCATTCTCTGTTCTATAGCCACGGGGTTTTTGAAAACACAAATCAGACCATGTCACTCCTTTGCTTAAAAGACCCCCCAACAGGTTCCCATTGCCCTTAGAATAAAATCCAAAACTACCTTAGCCCACAAGACCTTACACATCTGTCCCCTGTCTACCTCTCTGACCTTATCTTCTGCTTCTTTCCCTCCCACCTGCCAAGCTCCAGCCTCAGGGCACTCTCTCTGTCCATGAACACACAAGATGCCTTCCTGGCTTAGGGCCTTTGCACACCTATATTCTGGAACATGCTGTCTCCAGTTTATGATAATAATATTTGGGCATTGCCCTAAACGCTCTACATTTATTCATTCTTACGCAGTCAATGCTGTGAGGTAGGTATTATTATCCTCACTGTACATCAATCTAGTATGTGGTAGAGCTGGGATTTGACTCCAACACCTACAATGTTAACTCCTGTGCTATTCTGCCAGTCACATGCCATTGCCTCTTACAGACCTGCATAGGCTGACTCCTCTGGCCCTTCAGGTTTAGCTCTGAAGGCTTTCCATAGACCACCCTCCAATCACTCCTCCTCCATTCCCTGCCTTGGCACTCTCCAGCACACCATTTTTCTTTTATTTTCTTCATAGCATTATGACTATCTCAAACTCAAAAATTTGCTAATTTTTGTTTGTTTGTTGTTTATCCTTCTTCATAAGAATGTAAACTTCCAGAAAGCAGGGACCTTATCTATCCCATTAACTCCTGTGTTTTTACACCTTGAACACATAGAGGGAACCCAATTATGTTAGGCACATAAAGGGAGCCCAATTAATATTTGCTGAACTGGGGCACCTGGCTGGCTCAGTTGGTAAAGCATCTATAACTCTTGATCTCAGGGCTGTGAGTTCAAGCCCATGTTGGACCTGGAGTCTACTTTTATTTTGTTTTATTTTATTAAAAAATTTTTTTTAAATGTTTTATTTATTTCTGAGAGAGAGAGAGACAGCATGAGCAGGGGAGGGTCAGAGAAAGAGGGAGACACAGAATCTGAAGCAGGCCCTGAGCTGGCTGTCAGCACAGAGCCCGACGGAGGGATCGAAACCACAAACCGTGAGATCATGACCTGAGCCAAAGTCAGACGCTTAACCGACTGAGCCACCCAGGCACTCCTGGAGCCTACTTTTTAAAAATTACTGAATAATTAAATATTTAGCCAGGATAGAGTTCATATTCAATTAGTATTTCATCTTTACAAGGAATTTTTTTAACACAGATTTTCTTTCTTTTTTTTTTTAATGTTTGTTTAGTTTTCAAGGAGAGGGAGAGCTGGAGAGAGGCAGAGAGAGAGGGGAACAGAGAATCCGAAGCAGTCTCCATGCTGTTAGTATACAGCCTGACACAGGGCTCGAACTCAAGAAATGTGAGATCATGGCCTGAGCCAAAATCAAGAGTTGGATGCTAAACTGACTAAGCCACTTAGGTGCCCCTCTACAAGGATTTAAAAAAATTTTTTTATAATCTTTATTTTTGAGAGAGAGAGTGACAGAATGGTAGCAGGGGAGGGGTAGAGAGAGAGGGAGAGATACAGAATCCAAAGCAGGCTCCAGGCTCTGAGGTGCAGCACAGAGCCCAATGCGGGGCTCAAGCCCATGAACTGTTAGATCATGACTTGAGCTGAAGTCATGCACTTAACCGACTGAGCCACCCAGGTGCCCCAAGGATTTCTTTTTCAAAGTCTCTAAAAGCAAATTGGACTAGAAACAGAGATTGTGTATAGTTCATTTCTTGAAGCAAGCTATTAAAGGTAGATGCGGACCACCTTCAATAGGCACACAGGAATAGATGGTGAAACAGTACTATACCTAGTCATTCTTTTTATTTTTTTTTAATGTTTATTCATTTTTGAGAGACAGAGAGATACAGAGCATGAGTTGGGGAGGGGAGAGAAGGAGACACAGGATCTGAAGCGGGCTCCAGGCTCTGAGCCATTAGCAAAGAGCCTGACACAGGGCTTGAACCCACAAATTGTGAGATCATGACCTGAGCTGAAGTCAGATGCTTAACTGACTGAGCCACCCAGGTGCCCAGATACCTAGCCATTCTTTACAGTTTTATCACAGATTAAGTCATGTAAACCTTTCCTTAACATATTCACATTTTGGGTTATACATCTTATTAATACTCTCCACACATTTTGTAGTATGTGTTTATAGGAAAGCTACACTATCTCTCATCACTATTTTAGTTACCTCTGCCAGTTCATCTCTGTCATGAAATGGAGCAACCAAAACAAAACTGCAAGCATAGGAACACCACAACCTTGTGCAATGCCCAAAAATCCATTAGCCCTTGGGCTGGGTAAACACACTTATTTAAGACAGAGATTCACAATTATTGTTCCATGAGACTCATCACAAAATCACTATAAATTTTAATCCATGTATAAAACGTTTTTGATTCAGGAATACATTATATTGCTATTGTTTGTTCAGTTTTGTTTAGGGAAGGATATACTTCTAGAGACATGAATCAAGAAACATAGCACAATATCAGATAAACTCCAAAGAAAGACTGTGTTTATGTGAGAATGTGGTTTTGTGAGTATATAAAAGAATGAGATTAGGGAAGTAAGTAGTTGTATCAGTGGCTTGATGCTAAATAGCAACTATAAAACAGCAAAATCCCATGGATACTTTTAGGAATTATGAACATAGCTATTCCATAGTTATACTCTACTTACTGCTGACTTGTTTGGTGTTATTTGGGGTCTTTTAATGCCCTCAAACATGACACTAAAATTTCTACTAATCAAAAGTGTGCCACGAACACACAGAAGTTAAGGATCATTGCTCTATGGAACAATCTGCAAGCATTCAAAATATTAAATATTTTTTCTGTGTTATAAATGATAATTCAGCACTTCATATTATAAGCTTTTGTTTTCTAACTTCATTATTTTGCTTGCATTAAAGCTCATTTAACAGCACCACCACATACACCCTCTGCCATAAGAGTTTTCTGTACGTAAGCCCAATTTACTCAGCATTTCACTAACTCAAAAGCACTGGTTTCATACTAGGAATTTTGTATACATAAGAAAACAGAATACTTCACTGCATTAAGAAAATGACCAATTTATTAACAATTTATTGAAGGTTTTAGTTTGGGAAACTTCCCCTCAAACCTACAAGAAAAAAAAAACATTTTGAAACTAAACAAGAGACAAAGATAAAAAGGGGTAGTTTGGGCATTGAGGAATTGTTACCCACCTGTATATACCAGCTTTCTTCTGCCTTGCTAAAACAGCTATTAAAATTTTTCCAAGAATAGATATTAAAAGCTAAAAATGCTTAATTTAGTCTGAATACCATCAGTTAGGCTAAATTCATAGGCTTAAGAAAGAAAATTGAAAGCAAAGGAAAGGAAAAGGAAAAAGGAAAAAAAGCTAGGAGGGAAATAAAGACAACAGAATGAAAAGAAAGAACAGAGGCCTTCTCCCCCCATTTCTGTCCCATTGCCACAGCTGCCATTCAAGGTAGCACAAGTAATTATTACATGTCCGGGACTATGACATTCACCCTGGGACACAGAATACAAGATAAGACACTTGTCCTCAAGAATTCAAAATCTGGTTGGAGAGATAAAGTAATCTACATGAATCAACTGAGAATGTTAAATTGTGGAGTCTTGCTAGAAAAGAAATTTAGAGAAGGAAGAAATTAGTGTGAACAGCATAGGCCAAGAGGCTTTCATGGGAGATTTGAACATAAATTGGCCTTGAAAATGAGTAGGATTCTATAGGAAAGACGTTTAGAGATAAAAGAAGATCTGAAAATCTATGAAAAAGCCAAAAAGAAGAGAATCTAACTGGCAAGGAGAAAATCTTAGAATTCTGCCATATTTTCCAAAAGGGCACAAACAGAAAGGATTCAGGATCAGTTAAAATAAATTTAAAAATTGTGGTTTTATATAGGCAGAGATTTTTAATTTTAACATGTTAGGGAATAGGCTTCCTCTATGCTTTTTAAAAATACTCCTAAGTAGTTTTTAAAATCTCATAATAAATAATTGGTGAAGTTCATAACAAAACACACTGAAAGAATACTCTGGTTTCTCTTCAGATCGCATAACCTTTCGCCTTTTCTAAAACACACTGAAAGAGCTCACAATGAGTTACTTTGCTCACATAGTAAGCTGGTAACATAATCAATAGCCTCAATTCAGATAAACATATTTAAATATAAAGTATAATCCCATCTCAATGTGTGTTCTTACCTCAGGTTCCTTGGGATTTGTGTAAAGCTGTTTAAGGAAAAATAAACAACACTTAATTTCTGAAACTTCCGAGATTACTCCTCACAGAATACATTTTCTATGTGAAGAGTTCAATTTGTGCTCTATTGAGTACTGAGATATACATATCTCAAGATAATTTGTTATGGTTTTAAAATGCTTAAGTAAATCAAATTTCTAAGACTCTCAATAGTATCTTCTCATTTTCTTTCTATTCTTAACTACATATACCATGTTAAATCCAGAAACGCATAAAACTTCAAAAAGTCTACAAAACTGCAAAAACAAAAACCTCTAAGTCTGTAAAGTAATTCAAAAAAAGAAATCTTGATGGCCAATATATGAAGCACACAGTATATCCTATATTTACTTCCCCATGTATTATACCTAATAAATACATAATTTGTGATCTTTTATTAAAACTTCTGATAGATCCAGGGCACCTGGGTGGCTCAGTCAGTTAAGCATCTTACTCATGATATCAGCTCAGGTCATGATCTTGTGGCTCATGAGCTGGAGCCTTGTATCACAGTGCAGAGCCTGCTTTGACTTCTGTCTCTCCCTCTCTCTGCCCCTCTCCTGTTCTGTCTCTTAAAATAAATAAACATTAAAAAACCCCTTTTGATAGATTCTATTTTTTTATTCCAAAATGTCATAGGACAGATAAAGAAATTCAGGGAAGACATAGGGATAGTACTGTTTTAATGTTTTACTTGCCAAAAGACAATAGAGACATAGGCTTGGTCTTTAATTGGATACTTACTGTAAGTACTGCCATGTGTAGCTTCAAGAGAAAAGAAAACTACTGTTATTATATACTTGTGCCGATATTATTGTTATTTTCAATAAAGGCTGATTAAAATATGATTTAAGAGAAGTTCAAGGATTTGGGTAGGAGATCTTTAAAGGGGATACTAATTCACTCATTCATTCAGTGTGTATAAATTTATGTATATAGGGTTTTGCTGGGAGAGGAAGGATGCAAAAAAAAGATAACTATCTATACTCTCTAAAAGTTATATTTTAGTTGGGGAGGCAAAAGATATACAGAATAATTCATTATTAGTAAACATTAAATATGCCACAAGTAGCTCCAAAAAATTGTGTCTTTAGAAACTAATCTACTAAAGAAAAAATTTTAAAGTCTGTTAGGTCTATAAAACCCTTGCCCTACCTGCATATATATTACTATAAACAGATTCTCTCTATTTGAAAGAGTAGTCCAATATATGGATAGAGATACAATCTAGCCTCTGATAAAAATGTAAAAACTAGAATACAAATTGAAAAATTTCCAGACCAGGAGCACCTGGCTGGCTCAGTCAGTAGAGCATGAGACTCTTAATCTCTGGTTTATGAGTTCAAGCCCCACATTGGGTGTGGACTCTAGTTAAAATTGAAAAAAAAAAAAAAGAAAAATTAAAAGAAAATTTCTGGACTGATAATTTCCTATCAAATTATTCACCTATTTCACCCAGAGGACTAAAACTTTAGTGACACTATGTGGCTATTTTGGTTACTGCATACAATTTATTTTTAAGACTACATAGTGAAACTCTATATTAATTATTTGATTAACAGCTCATTCATTCATTCATTCAAAAATAGAAATGGCCACTGATCTTAGGGAACATGCAGACCAACAGGAAAGAAAACATTAAACAAAAAAGCAAACAGATAGGTACATCATTACAATTGTGTTAATTGCTATGACAAAGCAGCACAAGGTGCTTGAGACTATTAAACAAAAGGACAATCTAGGCTGGGGTAGGGGATTGTGTGCCAGGAAAGACCTCTCTGAGAAAGTAAGTATTTAGGCTGAGGCCTGAAGGATACATTGGAGTTAGCCAGGTAAAGGGTACTGGTAGGGAAGAGAATTTTGCAGGCAAAAGGAATAATACAACAAAAGAAAAATGTTCTAGAATCCTTGTGTGGCTTGACTATGGTTAGCAATGGTAAGAATGATGACTTGAAAAGGCAAGTGTAGACTAGATTATACAGGTTCTCTGTGAAGGACTCTGAGTGTTATTTTAAAAGCCATGGAAATGGGGCCCATGGCTGGCTCAATTGGAAGAGCATGCAACTCTTCATTTTGGAGTCATGAGTTGAGCCCCACTTTGGTTATAGAGATTACTTAAATAAATAAAACATGCATACATACAAACATAGCCATGGCAAATTTTCAGGCAAGAGACTGACATGATCAGACTTAGATTTCTGAAGAATATAGTGTGGACAGTGGGTTAGGATGGTAGGGGATTGAAAATAGCAATAAGGAGACAAATTGGGAGGCTATGTACAATATGGTCTCTTTTTTATAATAACTAAAAATACATACATGCTTACTTTAAAGAATTCAAGCACAGTAGGAACTACAAACAGGGTAAAATCATCTAAAATTTCACAACTAGAAATAATCATCATCTTCAACAGAACATCTTTCGAGATGAGAGAAAATGTGATCTTTCTAGATCTCTAGATACTCAAACTTGATTTAACTCATACTATTTTTAAAACATTAACTATTTTCTGGTGCACCTGGGTGGCTCATTCAGTTAAATGCCCAACTCTTGATCTTGTCTCAGGTCATGATCTCACAGTTTGTGAGTTCGAGCCCCACATCAGGCTCTGTGCTGATGGCACGAAGGCTGCTTGAGATTCTGCCCCTCCTTCTCTCTGCCCCTCCACCTCTTTATGCACACACTCTCTCTCCCTCAGAATAAATAAAAACTTTAAAAAAAAACCCAACAACATTAACTATTTCCTACTAGGAAATTAAGATACTAACAACTGAAAAACAAATATAAATAAGTTTAAGAATCTAGGCCATGCATCTAAGGTGTTGTCTTTTAATCTCCCAAAACAACAAATTTAATTGATTCAGTCATACATGTTGTCATTTAAGCAAATAAATCCATCAAACTAGGTAGATAATCTTTTTACATTACACTGATATTTTAGGACACCTAACATTTTATTTAAGAAGTGATTCCATTAGACTGTAACCTCCTTGAGTGGAGGAATCACAGTTTTCTCTCATCCAGTATTTAGATACAATATCTGGCACAGACTAAATAGATAAGAAAGGGGGGAAGAGAGGGAATGAAGGAAGGAAAGAAGAAAGGAGGGGAAGAAGAATAAGAGAAGATGGGAGGAGAGAGGGAGGGAGAGATGAAGGGAAGGAGGGAAGTAGAAAGGGAGAGATGGAAGGAGGAAAAAGTGTTAACACTTACATGGTGTTTATTATGTGCCAGGCATTGTACTAAACATTTAAAAATTTTTTAGTGTTTTTATTTATTTCAGAGAGAAAGAGAGAGTGTGTGTCAGCAGGGGAGGATCAGAGAGAGAGGGAGACACAGAATGTGAAGTAGGCTCCAGGCTCTGAGCTGGCTGCCAGCACAGAGTCCAATGAGGGGCTCGAACCCACAAACCGAGATCATGACCTGAGCCGAAGTCAGACACTTAACTGACTAAGCTACCCAGGAGCCCCTGTACTAAACATTTTAAATCAGTGGTTTTCAAAGTATGGTCCCTAAACCAGCAGTTTCAACATCACCTGGAATTTATCTGAAATGTAAATTCTCACATCAGAAATTTTGGGGTGGAGCCTGGCAATGTGTGTTTCAGTTGCCTTACTGGTGATTCCAATACCAGCTAACATTTGCAAACCAGTGATTTAGATTAGCTCATTTAATTCTCAACCCTAAGGGGTAAGTTCTGTTATTATCCCCTTTTGTGTATAAAGAAACTGAGGAACCAAGAGGCTTGTACTTGCCCAAGATTACGCAGGTGTTAAGTGACAGAAATGGGATTCCCCTCAGACTGATTCCAAAACTTTTGCTCTTAACTATATTGTAGTGCCCGTCAATGATGCATGCTGAAGAAATGTTGGAAGGAATTCGTTTGAAGGAAAATGAATGAGCACCATTCAGTATGCAGGTGATGACCTTCTTCTCCATTTAAACCTGTCCAAATACTAAAGGCCTTCAAAGTTCAAAAGCAATTTTCACTCAAAGATTTCCTTCATGCTCCTCACTAGACATAACTCTTCCTTTTCCACATTTCCATTGTACACAATCAGTATCTTTTCTTTAGCATGCATCAATTTCTAATGAGTAATATGGTTACTTATACTTGTGATACAGGTATAGTCAAAATATCTCTGATATTTTTACGTAAAAATATGAAGCTAATATAAAAAATAAATATTTAACAGCACAATATGGCACAGGTACTGGCCAATCAGAAAGGATGCCGACTTAGCTTTAGAGCTGGGTTCCTGGAAGCTCCCCCTGGGCCAGATGTTAACCTTTCAATTGCTAGATTATGAATCAGTCTCGGGAGATCCCAAAAGAGACAATGATGAGGTGAGGCGGAGGCCATGGTGGAGGTCATTCGGGGTCTCAGCAAAGCAGCTGTCTACCACCTGATATTTCAATATTTTAACAAGGACAGCTAGGCCAGTGTATAATGGGTGATCATCAGCCATGTATATGAATATCATTTATTTTCTGCCATGGTCTAGAAGATCTTTGTGTGCACAATCCCATATCTGTTTTAATTTTGTATCCATCAGCCCCCCAGGTCAGTGTTGAATAAATACTAAATAATAACTTCAATGAAAAAGGAAATGTATGAGTGCAACTAAATAATCCTACGGAAGGCTTATTTACCTCAAAATATCTTAAAGAAATAGGAATTGAGAAAGAGTTAAAAGAAGATACAGATGGGGAAAAGAAGGGGAAGCAGGTAGGAGGTTCATTTATATACATCTTGTCTCTTCAACTAGGACCAGAGCCTCTAATTTTTACACCCTTCATAGCTGTCTTGGGCAGCAAGAAAAATCTGATGCACTTAAAATTCAAGCTGCATTTTTTTAAACTCCAAGTTAAATACTAGCTATTTTGAGGGAATGGATTATATACATGTACCAAACACAGTTAAAAAAATAACCAACATAGAATAAAAACTGATTATTCATGTCTGTTTTTTCCTTCCATATCTGTGAATTGAATCTCAACTATTTTGAACATATTCAATGTGCTAAATGCCAGATTCTTGTCTCCCCTGTCCCACATCCTCTGGATCTCTTCCAGTGACTTCAGAGGAAATTCTGTGGTCAAAAAGATATGAGTATGTAAAAGAGAAAAGTGAGGGTTTCCTTTCTAATTGATGAAAACAAGACATTAACAGGACAACAAAGACATAAAATAAAAAGAAACTTTCAGAAATGAAAATGTAGGCAATGGTACACTGTTATTACACAACAACAAAATAAAGGCTAAACTTATTTTTTAAGGGCTAAAGGATGAGTCTTTAATCCTGGTGTAAATTTAAAAACATTCTTACGTATCTCTTTTCCAAAGCATCAAAACAACCTTGGATCCTGTCAAGAAATAAATGTTTGATGTCAATTTGGTCCAGATGTAAAAGCCAAAAAACTCCAAGTACAGCATTGATTTATATTCTTTGCTTTGAAGTACATTAAATTAGTAATCATTCTACCTTTCCCATTTAAACTTTTTTTTAAACTCCCAGTGTCATTTAATATGTTGATAGAACTTTATAAGTAATAGGTAAGCAATTTTAAGGTAGGGAACCACATCTTATTTTTCTTTTTGCTTCCCATAATGTTTAGGATACTGACATGCATGTGATGAGCAATCAAATTTTGACCAATATTTTTCTCTCTTTTTAAAATTTTTGTTATTGAAGTTTAGCTGACATATAGTATTATATTTATTTCAGGAGCCAAATATTTTTCTTTCCTTATTAAGTCCATTTTCTTCAAAAATATAACTAAATCAGTATCTTAAAATTACATTGAATAATCTTTATAAATTTCTAGGGAACTGTGGGAAAAAAGGATAGAAGGAAGGAAAAGGAAGGGAGGGAGGGAGGAAGGAAGGAAAGAGAGAGAGGGAGAGAGAGAGAGAGAGAGAGAAGAAAGAAATGGTTTTAAGGAAATGATCTTACCAAATAGTCTTATTCCAGCCATGATAAAAATAATGTTCTACTTTTGTGGAACTTCAATTACTTACCATTTGATAATATGCAGTGACCCCGGACATTTTTTATCTTCTCGAAGTATTTTTAAACTGAGGTCTACAAAAATAGAAACACAGTCTATTTTCCTCTACTAAATGATTGCTGTACTAAAATTGTCCATGCTAAATAAGGGTATTTCCTTTAGCTATTTTATTTGCATAACTTAGTTTTATAGCTTATGAAAACATTTTGAATCTCTAAATATATACTTTAAAAATAAATTCTATGTTGATGATTAGCTTAGTTGCAATTTTCGTTATAGTCTAGCAGTCTCCCCTTCTACAATGCAGCACAACTGAATTGGTTGCAAAATCAATTTGTGTTACTTTGCTTCTGTCAGGTTTCAAGTAATCATAAGGTATTATTGAGACTATCTCCATTAGCCAATTTAAAACATGTACCTCAATCTCCTCTCATATTTCTCTCCCTCTCAATGAAAATACAGATGAAAATTCTTACCGTGGATTATTCTCAAATATTAATTTCCATCTGAAATTCAACCACCTTACTGTAGTTAGAGAAGAGCAGGAAAATCATATTAAAAGAATTTTGATGTCGGGGTGCCTGGGTAGCTCTGTCGGTTAAGCGTCTGACTTTGACTCGCTCAGGTCATGATCTCATGGTTCATGAGTTCCAGCCCCACACTGGGCTCTGTGCTGACAGCTCAGAGCTTGGAGCCTGCTTCAGATTCTGTGTCTCCTTCTCTGTCTGCCCCTCCCCCACTTATGCTTTTTGTCTCTCTCTCTCAAAAAGAATAAACATAAAAACAAAATTTTTAAAGAGTTTTGGCTTAGATCACTCTAAAATCAGTCACTGATACATGTATGACTTTGCATGTCATTTCACCTTTTCATGTTGTTTTCCTATTCTAAAACTGATGTCCCCTCTATCTCTACTGAGATACATGAAAATGATTCCATGTTGGTATAATATTTAAAGATCACCAAAAAGAGAGTGACAGAGGAGAACTGAACATATTTATGATGTATGCTACTTTAAGTACAAACATTGAGAGGGAGACATATAACCTCCACTAAAACTATCACAGAAAATAAAGCTGTAAGTAATAGTGTTACCCACGTTGAAAGAAAGAAAGAAGGAAGGAAGGAAGGAAGGAAGGAAGGAAGGAAGGAAGGAAGGAAGGAAGGAAAGAAAGAAAGAAAGAAAGAAAGAAAGAANAGGAAGGAAGGAAGGAAGGAAGGAAGGAAAGAAAGAAAGAAAGAAAGAAAGAAAGAAAGAAAGAAAGAAAGAAAGAAAGAAAGAAAGAAAAAGAAAGAGAGAAAAAGAAAGAGAGAGAGAAAAAGAGAGAGAGAGAGAGAGAAAGGGCCTGAAATGGAGTCACTTGGCCCCCACAAAGAGCAAACCATGACTTAATTGCAGGAATATAAACTTTAACCAGTCAATCTGGAATTTCCTGATCAACTCTAGTGAGGTAATCTGCACTACCGACCCCTGCCTTCTCCCCACCCCTCCAAGGAAGGTGACCCTGCCTGAAACAAACATTTCTTTTCTCTTACTAATGACTTCCTTGTCCCACCCTGTCTATAATAGTCTTCCATTTTGTACAGCTACTATTCTATTTCTATTTGCTAGATTGGATGCTGTACTACTCATGAATCACTGAATAAAACCAATTAGATCTTCAAATGAACCCAGTTGAATTTTGTTTTTTTAACATCTCAACACCCTTACCATGACTAGGGTAGTGATTGGCACACAGTAAGTCCTTATAATTACCCCAAAAATGCCTTTTTCCAATTTTTTTCCAATTCTGTTCCAAATGAAGAAAAATGCAACTCTCTGCTACATATAAACATATTCACAATTACAGATTTATTTTCTATAGACCAAAAGAAGACATGATACAAATGAAGTTGTCATGACTGCAAATATCATGTTTTTGTATTTATAGCACCACATGCCTTTCATTGATGCTAGTACAGAGAATCAAAAGTTAAGAAAATTAAATTGGAATGAGGCCAAGGTATATCATTAAATACAGATGTGAGGAACTTAAGTTAGATCTTGAAAAATATGATCTCACAAGGAAACGTATAGGTCTTTACATTTATTTTCCCAAATGATAGTTCCCATTTTAGTGCCAAATCAACAAGATTTTTCTGAATTGTTATCACAATACAGCTTTTTAAGCTAATAAGATTCTAAAAAATTGAAGTCCTAGGTACATTTTTTTCTTTCAATAGAAGAAAAAGAAAGGAGCTAGAAACAGCTTGTAATATAAGGAAATGAGATCATAAGTTTAAGACACAAGAAATAAGAGAGGAAAGTAGGAGACCTGGCAACTGAGAAAAGAAAAGCACTGATTAGAATAATAATTGTCTCTTCATGTTAATTGACAAATGGGTTTGGCATGAATATGCTTTTCTTCCAGCATATTTACATGTGTTAACAGTAAGAAGAGTTTTTCACCTGGCTGCATTAAACTTCCTCAATTCCAAAGTAAACCTCAGAAAACAAACTCAACGAGGCACAAAATAGTGCAAATCTACAGCACCCAAACAGATTTTGATCCAGCTGTTGCTTTTATAGGTATGGTTTAGAATTACTAGGCTTGTCTATACAGATTTATTTTCTTCTCAGTCTGTCATTTGGTATCCAGCCAGGAACTAATGATTCCTATAAGAAGAACCATGAAACACAGTTAAATTAAAATGGAAAATGAGGGGAGTGTGCCTGGCTCAGTTGGAAGAGCATGCAACCAACTCTTGATCTTGGGGTTATAAGTTTGAGCCCCATGTTGGGTATAGAGATTACTTAAAAATAAAATCTTTTTTAAAAAATGGACAGAGTGCCTGGGTGGCTCAGTTGGTTGGGTGTCCGACTCTTGATCTCAGCTCAGATCTTGGCCTCAGGGTTGTGAGTTCAGGCCCTGCATTGGGCTCTGCTCTGGGCTCAGAGTCTACTTAAAAAAAAAAAAAGGAAAATAAATTAGCAAACTGATCTTGAAGAATATGCCCATTACTTGGAACTAGCACACTGTGAAAAATGAAAGGTTTACTCTTGCCAAGTAAAGAAAGACTACAACAGCCAAGGTAATCACTCAGTTAAACTTTACCATCCAAATGGCGTTCTCCATAAGAGCTCTCTGGAAACAGGCCCCTTAGATATGTTATACATGAGATAGAAGTAGCAAAAAGTTTCTTCACCATTATCAGTGACTCATGCTCATTAGTGATTTGGGATGGAAAAACTGTTTCCTGGAAAAAAAAAGATGAAAAAGATTAGTATTCTTTAATATATTCAGCCATCATGCCATTACCACAGATATGATGGAAAGATTTTTCAAGATTTCAAATCTGATACCTTTACAGGTAATCAAAAGGAAACAGGGCTTTGAAAACTGAATTAAATTTGATCTCTATAAGTAAGACAGAGAAGAAAGGCATGGACAGTTACCCAAGCAATTCAAGACCAGTATAATTTACTTCAAAACAATCCATGGGTTTGAGGCGAAACTGGAGCTTTACTATGATTACACAATCTCCTTCCTTTTCACACATTTCTCAGATCCCAATGCAATCTGTCTTTTACCCCCTACGTTCCCTCCAGAGTCATCAAATACGTCCTATCGTTGACCTCTTCTGTCCTCTCACTATGTAATTTCTCTGCAGTGTTTGACACTTTTGCCCACATCTTCCCTCTTCTCTTTCAGTTGCCAAAACAGTTTGCTTTTGATTTTTCACATATCCCTTCATATCTGTCTCAATCTCCTATTTTTTCCAATTTTTCTGCCCTTTAAATGTTTAAATTCTGTCTTCAGTCCTTTCTCTTTGCATAGCTTTCACTTCCTGGGTAATCTCATCTAGTTTCACTGCTTCAGCTATGGCCCATACAGAGAAGACTTCAAATCTTTATTTCTGTTTACACCCTACTTCTGTGTTTCTGTTTTGTGAACATCTGTCCTAGACCACTTTTAGAACCTTCAAACTCTGTTCATCTCTATCACCTTTCACTGAAACATGATCCCAAGTTTCATTCTCAGACAAATGAATCAGCCTCTACTCCAATCATCCAGGGTAGAAGTAGAGTCATCTTTGGCTTCTCTTTTTCGTTCATAGTTCAAACCCCATTTCCAAGCACTAAACCCTATAATTCTCTCTAAAAGAGTTCTCAGATGTATTTTCTCCTTTCCCTTCTCAATGTCACTGCCTTGACTTAGGACATCTTCACTTCTCCCCTTTATTACTGTTGTAGCCCCTGATCTTCCTGCAAACAGTTACTTTCATTCACTCTGTCCTTCATATTGTCATCATTAACTTTAAAGAATATAAATCTTATTATGACATGACCAATGCTCATATAGGATAGAGTTCAAGTGCCTTAGTGGGGCATTTAAGAACTATCAAAGTCTTATCCTTGCCTAGCTCTCTTGCCTCATCTGCCACCCCTTCCTCTCTGCCCCTACTACTTCCTCTTCTATGCACCCTACTCTTTCTATGTGGAGCTACTATTCATTTACTAGTCTACTACCATGTATCTCCATGCTTTTGTGCTTTGCTAGAATTCTGCAGGATACTAAAGTAAGAACTTAGAATACTAAGGTTCTGTAAGATGTCAGATAGACTTCTATAAAATGTATGAGTGCCAAGAACAGCTTCCTTCTAAATTATATGTATGTATGTATGGTATATTGAAAAATTCATAGTTATTCTTAAATGATTGGATAGTCTGCCCTAAGAAATGGTGTGCCATATGAGGAATGTCATAAGAGAGTGACAGATGCATAAATTTTTACTTCAACATATAAGAATTGTCTACCAATTGAAATTCATGTAGAATACTTGCTGATAGTTCGTTTAGAATCTTGAGTTATCATTTCAACATATGTTTGTTATATTCAGTATTTATTGTGTACATGTATAAAAATAAAAATTTCATCATTTTTATAAAAATTGGTCTGAGATTGCTTTTTGCTCTTATTTAAGCACAAAATATGTCTCATGAACACCAGTTGATATTGTCAATACATTTTAATTTTTTTAATGTTTTATTTATTTCTGAGAGAGAGATAGTGTGAGCAGGGGAGGGTCAGAGAGAGAGGGAGACACAGAATCTGAAACAGGCTCCAGGCTCTGAGCTGGCTGTCAGCACAGAGCCCAACATGGGGCTTGAACCCATAAACCTCAAGATCATGACCTGAGCCGAAGTCAGATACTTAACTGACTGAGCCACCCAGCGCCCCAATATATTTTAATTTTAAAGTATTTTCTAAATATTGATGAATTAGACTATATTAAACTTAAGAACTTCTGTTCAAAGAGGCAACTTGTATGGGAGGAGATAATCTCAATACATATATCTGCAAAGGATTCATATCCAGGATAGAGGAAGCACTCTTAAATGTCACTAAGGCAAAAACAGACAACCAAAAGGAAAAAATGGACAAAGACTTGAAAGACACTTCACAAAACAGGATATCCAAATGGCCAATAAATAGTGCTTAAACTTCATGAGGGAAATACATATTAAAACCACAATGAGATAACACTACACCACCTATCAAAATGGCTAAAACTTTTAAAAATCAGAAAATACTAAGGATGTGAATCAATCAAAACTTTGAAACACTGGTTATAGGAGCATGAATGGGTATAGCCTCTTTGGAAAATTTGCTCAGTGGTATCTACTAAAGCTAAAGATACACATGCTCTATGACCTTTATTTCACTCATAGATCTACACCTGACAGATACGCCTACCTGTGCTCACCAAAAGAATGTCATAATTGCATTATTTGTAATAGACCTAAAATGGAAACTATCCAAATGCCCATAAACAAAAGAATGGATAAACAAATTGTAATATTTCCCATAATGGAATACTATACAGAAAGGAGAATGAATGATCTACAACTATACTTAACAATACAGATGACTCTCCCAGACAAGTCTGAGCAAAAGAGACCACATACAAATGAGTGCTACTGTATGACTTCATTGATACAAAATACAAAAGTAAGTAAAACTACTTCCTTGCTGTTAGAAGTCAGGATAGTTACATCTCTGATTATCTTAATCATTTTCAGAAGTCTTTTTACTATACTACACAGTTTCAACTGTTAAAGTTTTAATAATTCTGTAACAGAGGCAGGTACTACCCGTAAATATGCCTCTGATGAAGAACTCCCAAAAAGCTTTTCTATAGTTATATCCAAAAGATGTTCTAGTCATGATTTTGCTATATAAACTTCGCTCTTCTTTGGTATACTGGCAATGAATTATCAAACTATATTATATTTAGTTGTTAAAATATATATAATAAAATTATTACTCTTGCATGTATGATAGGAACTTTGGGGACAAATCAGTATGGATCTTAAAAGCCAGGCTAAAGAATGTATGCTTTATTTTACAATCAATGGAAAGTCAGTGGATTTGATCAGGAAAGTGAGTAAAAGAATTGTTTTAGCTATATCAGAAGTAGGAAAAATTAAAGCTGAAGGAGAATTAGGTATGTATGTGGTGTGCATGTGTGTGCATGTAAGATTTTATAGAAAATTGCTTTTGGTACCAACAGAGCCTGAGAAATTATGGTCCTTTTGAGTAACTGGGTAATAGCTGGCATCCCATGTATATATAGAACTTTACTGAAAACTTGCCAAAACTTAGAAGTAATACTTGAGTAATAACCATTTGTAAAATTAAATAACCTGAAAGTATAAAGACATTTACTTTAAATATAGAATCTAAAAGCCCATTTGTAGTAATGAAGATCAATAGTTAGAAAAGCCCTCTAAAGTGGGGATGAGCACTGGGTGTTATATGGAAACCAACTTGACAATAAACTATTAAAAAAGAAAAAAAAGGGGCGCCTGGGTGGCTTAGTCGGTTAAGCGTCCTACTTTCGCTTAGGTCATGATCTCGCGGTTCGTGGGTTCGAGCCCCGCGTCGGGCTCTGTGCTGACTGCCAGCTCAGAGCCTGGAGCCTGTTTCAGTCTGTGACTCCCTCTCTCTCTGACCCTCCCCTGTTCACGCTGTCTCTCTCTCTCTCTCTCTCCCAGAAATAAATAAAAATATTAAAAAAATAAATAAATAAATAAATAAAAATAAAAAAGAAAAAAAAATAAAGAAAGAAAACATTAAAAAAATAAAAAATATAGCCCTCTAAAGTTCTGTTATTTCTCTATACTCCAGGGATTATTTTTCTTAGTTCAACTGACCTAATACCTTAAGGGTCATCACTGATGTTTTCCTAAATGTCTAATACATGAAAATACTATGATTTCACAATAAAAAAACACTATAACAAGGTATTTTAACAAGATAGTGTGCTAATGACATACACGATGTTTGACAGCTCAGTGGTCAAGTTACATGACCTAAGACAATTACTTTACTTCTCTGAGCTTCAGTTTCCACCTTATCGTGAGGTTTAATTGAAACAGTAATATAAAGCCCTTGGCACAATGCCCAGTACATGGTAAATGCTGAATAAATGTTAGCTTCTAGAATTGTTATTATTGTTGTCTTAAGTATTAAATAGCAAAATCATACAGTCACTTAAAATTTACTGGGAATAGTTCATGCAGTCCAAACTACAAAGATCTGTTTATATTAAAACGTCAATTTGTTAATTTACATAGAGAAAATAAACTCCCAAGCTGATTGTAATTCATATATATTCCCAGCTCAGCATTTTCCCCTCAGGAAGGAAGCACACTTAGGAAACCAAAATGAGATCAGGAATCCAGTGAGTATAGTGAATTCAAGCCAGAAAGATGACTACTTTCTCTCTGCCCTGATTCTCCTTCAACTTGAATCCTGCCTTTGTTTGCTGCAGCTTAATATTCCTAAAACAATTATTTTACTCACTCTCCTTTTTAAAATAAATGTTTATTTATTTATTTTGGGATAGAGAGAGCATGTGTGAGTGGGAGAGTGGCAAAGAGAATGGGAGAGAGAGAATCCTAAGCAGGCTCCCTGCTGTCATCCCAAAGCCCAACACAGGGCTCAATTCCACAAACCTATGAGATAATGACCTGAACTGAAATCAAGAGTTGGACATTTAATCAACTGAGCCACCCAGGTGCCCCAATTTTATTAACTCTCCTGATCAAACCCACAGACTGTGCCCTGATTGAAAAATAAAGTAGAGGCGCCTGGCTGGCTCAGTAGAAGGAGCATGTAACTCTTGATCTTGAGGTTGTGATTTCAAGCCCCACATTGGCTGTAGAGATTACTTAAATTTTTTTTAAAAACTTAAAAAAAAAGTAAAGAATACAGCAAAAATTCCTTAGCCTGCCTTTTAAGATCCATATTAATCTGTTCCCAAAGTTCCCGTTCAATTTTATCTCCTATTTCTGTCCAACATGATGTCTCTCCACTCCAGTAAGGATAGGTTCTTCATTATTCTCTAAAATGTTCATTTCTCATTTTGAGCCAAGGCATGTTGGTAGGTTTCCCTCAAAGAATTCTCTTCTCTCTCCTCTACTCAAATTCTTTTTATTATTCAAAGTCTACCTTAAGTTACATTTCCTTCATGAGTAAGGAAGTCTTACCAGTCTATACAAAATCTCTAAATTCCTATAATTTATACTGCTTTGCTCTTTTTCACATATATGTATTGTATATACTGCTTTGTATATTGACTTAACTCCTCTAAATCTTATTTCCCTTACCAGATTCTAAACTTCTGGAAGATAAAGATTTATAATAATATGTATCATATAATATTGAGCTCTCAATTAATAAATGAATGATTCATTAATGAATGTCATGGTACAAGAGAGACTTCTTCTTGTGAACCGTGAAGGTTACCTGACTCTGGCAAGCTCCCCCAGGGGCCCATCCTCCAAGTTCTTCTTAGTACTCTCTCCTTCAGTCCTTATAATTACATCAAGGTGCATATCAGAACTTTCCTAATTGTTTCAGGAAATGAGAGTCTAACAAAGAACTGTTCTCTTTAAACGTCTTTTTTAATTGATTTCTTTTACTCTAGAGAATCTAAACATAGGAGCATGAAACAAGCACCCAGCAAGTTACTTTGTAGGAATCTATTCTAATTTTTTGAACATCCTCAGCCCATTAGGCAGTTAAAATGTAGATAATACTCTGCAAGAATATTATGTGCCAATTAACTGATAAAACTGCTTTTTAAAAAAAAACAAAGTTTAAAGTCATGATTCTGAACTAACTCACTAAATAGTCATTGATTTTCATTAAATTCTTAGTAAATACCTTAGATGTTTTGTGAATTTTGATAGAGTGAGAGAGCTGAGCAGTTGCCATTGTAGTAATGTATCAAGATTCTTTTAACAAGTCAAACCTGTGGGGGTGAAAAAAAAATTAGAGACTTTGCCTAACATAACCATTTTTGTGAATTTTCTAAAAGAACTATATAATTAGTATTTGACTATATTCTTTGGAAAATTAGTTTAATAAACATTTTTATCTCCACTACCAATTTCCTATAAATTTGGCTTAAGATCTCTGGACTAGTATTTCCAACCTCCCAGTAAGAATTTAAGTTGATTTTCTTGTTCCCAAATATATTTTGAATAAAATAAATTGTAAATTACCTAAAGATTCGACAATCTATATATATTTTTAACTTTTTAAAATGTTTATTCATTTTTGAGAAAGCGAGCGACACAGAGTGTGAGTGGGGAGATGCAAGGAGAGAGAGGGAGACACAGAATCTGAAGCAATCTTCCAGGCTTTGAGCTGTCAGCACAGAGCCCAACACGGGGCTTGAAGGAGCTGAGCCATGAGATCATGACCTGAGCCAAAGTTAGACTGACTGAACCTGCCAGGTGCCCCTCAACAATATATTTTACTCATCCTTTTTATTCCCTTAGAGGGCAACTGTGTTCTGTATGTATATAGCAGGAGCTCAAAAAACATTTTCTGTTTTTCCTTTTTTTTTTTTTTTTTTAAAGAGAGAAGGAAGGCACAAGCATGAGTGGTAGAGGGAGAGAGAGGATCTGAAGCAGGCTCCATGCCCAGCTCAGAGCCTGACACTGGGCTCAATCTCATGACCCTGAGATCATGAACTGAGTAGAAATCAAGAACCAGAAGTGCTTAACTGACTGAACCACCCAGGTGCCCCAATTCAAGAAATGTTTTTGAGGGGCGCCTGGGTGGCTCAGTTAAGCGTCTGACTCTTGATTTGGGCTCCACGATCTTGTGGTTCCATGCATTCCTGCCTCGCATTGGGCTCTACGCTTGCAGTATGGAGCCTGCTTGGGATTCTCTCCCTCTTTCTCTGCCCCTTCCCTGCTCTTGCATGTGCACATACACATTCTCTTTCTCTCTCTCTGTCTCAAAATAAATAAACTTAAAAAGATTTCTTGAATTAACTTCATGTGTAATTGGCTTTCAAAGGTAACTCAAAAGTTACACATCATATCCATTAGGATGGCTTTTTTAAAAAAATGGAAAATAGTAAGTGTTGGTGAGGATGTGGAAAACTTGGAACCCTTGTGCATCATTGGTGGGAATCATACAGCTGCTGTAAAAAACATTTTGGAAGTTCCTCAAAAAGTTAAACAGAATTACCATATTATTCAGCAATTCCACTTCTAGGTATAACAAAGAGAACCGAAAGCAGGGATTCAAATACTTGTATACTTCATGGCAGTATTATTTACACTACGCAAAAGGTGGAAACAACCCAAAAGTCCATCAGCAGTTGAATGGATTTTTTTTTAATGTGTTATATACAATGGTATATACAAGTCTTAAAAAGGAATCAAATTCTGATACATGGCTGCAACATGGATGAATCTTGAAAACATTATGCTAAGTGAAATAAGCTAGACACAAAAGGACAAATATTGTGTGATTTTACTCACATGAGATAGAGGTACTCAAAGTAGTCAACTTCATAGAGCAAAAGTAGAATAGAGGTTAAAAAGGGCTGGAGGGTGGAAGGAAAGTGATGTTCAGAGGGCACAGAGTTTCTGTTCAGGCTGATGAAAATTTTCTAGGAATGGATAGCAGTGATGGTTGCACAACACCATGAACACACTTAGTTGCCGCTGCATTGTATATTTGAGAATTGTTAAGGTGGTGAATTTTATATTATGTGTATTTTAATATGATAAAAAAGTTAATGTTAAAAATACATCTAGTTTTGGGGTGCCTGATTGGCTCGATAGGTAGAACAATGTTACTCTTGATCTTGGGAGTAATGGGTTTGAACTCCACATCGAGGGTAGAGTATACGTAAAAAATAAATAAATAAGAGGGACTTTAAGTTATAAAAAAAAAAGGAAATACATCTGTTTTTCACTTCTATTGCTTCACTGGCATAAACAAAGAAGCAAATTTCTCTTTTTCTTTTCAAAGATCTTAATTTAATTTATATCGGGGCTCCTTTTCAAGTTTTATGGAGTTCTAACCAAGTAACATATTTAAAGTAATTCCATTCTGGATCACCCAGGATAGCCTGTGATCTTCTTTTGTGTATAGAATATTGCACGATTCTGGATGATTTTGCAAATAAAAGGCGGCAGAATTATGAGAGGACATGGCCACAAGATGGTGATAGAGATTATAAACAAGTAATATTTAATTTCTCTCGAATTTCTTCTTCAGAGCAGCGCTAGGGGACACTCTCTGACAATATCTTGTAGACACTGAAAACCACCTAATAGTCCTTTAGTCCTTAAAGATTACAAAGGGTCTTTTGTTGACTTTAGAATATAACCTTCATTTCTGTGTATAACCTTCAAATCTGACTCAACACATCAAGTGTTTCCCTTAAAACTTCAAGAAATAAAATGGGCAAAATCAGTAACTACAAAAGTTTAAGCCCTAGTTCTAGCCCATTAAACCATGTAAATGACCCCCTCCTGGGGTAGTTATTAGTTTTAGAGACAATAAGTAAGAAGAATAGGGGCACATGGATGGCTCAGTTGGTTAAGTGTCCGACTCTTGATTTCAGCTCAGGTCATGATTTCACAGTTCATGGTATCAAACCCCACATTAGGCTCTGTACTAACAGTGGTCAACCTGCTTGGGATTCTCTCTCTGTCTCTCCCTCTCTCTAAATAAATAAGTAAACATTTAAAAAATAATAAATAATAATGAGAAGAATTTTTCAATAGATTTCTTCATTGATTTTTTGTTTTTTTTAAATCTATGGGGGTGCCTGGCGAATCTCAGTAGAGCATATTCTCGGAGTTGTGAGTTTGAGCCCCACGTTGGGTGTAGAGATTTCTTAAATACATAAACTTAAAAAAAAATTCTCTATGATCATAAGACATTCAGATGGCATTTCTGGAGAATCAAGCCCTGAAAAAAGCATCAGTCAATTAGGACATAATAGCTAGGACATTATTACATCTGTATAGGAATGTACAGAAAACCTGGATTAAACTGATACTCTCACTGAAAACTCTTGAGACAATCAGGTCACATGCTTTTGAAAAAGGATTCAAAGCTGGTTACTATTAGCATTTGGTAAATACCTGAGGAATTAACATTTCTGAAATATGTCAAGTTAAATTTTATTTACACATATGTGTGTATGAAGAGAGAAATAACCAGCAGTATAATGCAATAGAAAGCGACTTTGGACTTAAGGAACCTAAGTTCAAATTCTGTTCAACTACCTAGTAGCTCTGTAACTTGGTCATATCACACAATGACCCTAGGCTTCAGTTTCCTTTTTTGTAAAATGCAGACAATAAATCCAACTTCTCAGGGCTCTAACAATGTTTATCCGGGAATGTGTACATCCAGAGAGCATACTTAGCATACTCGCACTCTTCTGGAGCCACACTACCTAGGATCAAATTTCAGTCTGCAATTAACTTGTCTGTCCAAAAGATTGTGTGCCTCAGTTTCCCCATCTATAAAAGAAGGATAGTAATAGTACCAGCTTCATATGGTTGTGTGGGTACTAAATGAGTCATTATTTATAGGGGACTTAGAACACTGGCAAATATTTCATTATAAGTAATAAAGCATGTTTATTTTTAAAAATCTTATGTTAGGTGTGCCTGTGTGACTCAGTTGGTTGAGCATCCGACTTTGGCTCTGGCCATGATCTCACAGTCTGTGGGTTCAAGCCCCACATCGGGCTCTGTGCTAACAGTTTGGAGCCTGCTTCTGATTCTGTGTCTCCCTCTCTCTCTACCCTTCCTCCACTCGCACTCTGTCTCTCAAAAATAAACAAAAATAAATTTATTTTTAAAAAATAAATAAAAATCTTATGTTAGCATTTGAACTCCTAGTTTTCTTCCAGCCTTCCAGTTGTTCCTTCTCATTGTCTACTTCAGACTTTTTTCCCCTGCCCACTTCTTAGCATTTGTGTTCAGGGTTCTATAGTAGGAGCTCCTTTTCTTTTTTTTCTTCTAAACACTTCTAAACTCCCTGGATGAACAAATATATTCCCATTGTTTCAATTACTATATCCATTCACATGACTGGATATAAGAGGCCCAGGTCTGTCTGAAGAGTCAGAGATCTATACCTCAGTCTATGAGACAGTTCCACTTTGATGTTCCCAATGCATCTAAATATCAGATCTTTGGGCCTGTGGGTGACTCAGTCAGTTGAGCGTCTGACTTCAGCTCAGGTCACGATCTCATGGTTCTTGAGTTCAAGCCCTGAATCAGGCTTTGTGCTGACAGCCTGGAGCCTGCTTCGGATTCTGTGTCTCCCTCTCTCTCTGACCCTCTCCCGCTCATGCTCTGTTTCTGTCTCAATTAAAAAAAAAAAAAAAAAAACATAAATTATTTTAACAAATCAGTTCTTTTCCCCAAAAACCTATTTCTGTTCTCTAGCTCAGTAAATGACATCATCAAATACCCAATTGTTCAAACTTAAAAACTATGACTCAACTCTGTTCCTTCCCTCATTCCCACATCCAGTCTCCTTAACATTTATCAAGTATGTCCATTCCTCACTTTATACATGCTGTCATCTCTGCTTTAGATCAGATTAGCCTCATATTTTGCCTAGACTGCTATAACCACCAGTCTGCCTGTCATTGATCCTGCCCTTCTCCAGGCTGTTATTTTGTATTGCAGCCAGAGTTTTCTTTCTAAATTGCAAACCTGATTATATAATTTCCTAGACTGAAATTCTTCAATGGCTTCCCACTTCCCTCAAGATAAAATCCAAATTCCATACCATGGCTTCAAGATCTGGCTCAAGCCTTCTTAGCCGCATCTCTAACCATTTGCCCTTACACTTTTATGAATCAGCTATTCTTATCTACTTTGATTACCTAAAGGACCATATTTTCTCCAGCTTTCAGGCTTTTGCAATATTCTTTCTGCCTGAAACATTCTCCTCCATTTTCAATTCTTACTTATCTCCTCCATATGGCTTAGTATAATGTTCTCAAGGAATATTTCCTGATTCACCACAACCACCAAGTTAGGGTTATGTACCCATTATAATATATGCTGTATCATGGTTGCATTTAGGTATCCATCCCCCTATTGTGAGCTAACATGAGGGTAAAGTTGTGTCTGTCCAGCTCTTTTATTTTTTGTTTTTTTCTTAAGGTACAATTTAGTGGATCTTTAAGGTACAATTTGGTATATTCACAGTTTTGCAACCATCACTATTAATGCTAGAAGATTTTTGTTACCTCAAAATGAAACTCTGTCCTCATTACCAATCACTCCCCACTCTCCCCTCTTCCTGACCCCTTGCAACCACTAATCTATGTTTCATCTCTATGAATTTGCCTATTCTGGACATTTCATATAAATGGAACCATGTAATATGTGACCTTTTGTGTCTGCTTTACTTCATTCCTGAATCCTCAGCACCATTATAGTATTGAAACAAAACAGATGCTCAATATCTCCTGAATCAACAGAGAGATACAATAACAAGGAAGAATTAAGCATCTTAGAAAAGAATTACAGAATATTAATATTAATAGACAGGAACTTTGAATGTCATCTAGTCCAAACACCTAATTTTCTAGATGAGGAAATCAAGGTTCAGAGAAGTCAACTGACTTAGGGTCAATCAAAAAGTTGTTGGCAGAACTGAGAATAAAACTTAAGAAACTCTGACTCACAATTTATGGGTTTTTCTAAAAGGACTCCCCAAAATGAAATCCCTTTTTGCTTTCATCTCACCTAAAATAATGCATTACCCAGGTATGTAGGTGGCTCAGTCCATTAAGTGCCCAACTCTTGATTTTGGCTCAGATCATGATCTCATGGTCATAAGATAGAGCCCCACGTCAGGCTCTGCTCCGGGCATGGGGTCTGCTTAAGATTCTTTATCTCCCTCTTCCCCTCCCCCACCCCCATATGCACATGCACTCTGTCAAAATAAATAAACATAATAAAATAACATGACGCACCAGTGTCTTCCTAGTTGTTGAGCTTGCTTGCTTATTTCTAAATACAGTAGTGTCGTTATACCTTTTTCTGTTTTTCTAGAATGAGCTTGCTTTAGGAAGGCAAAATATATCTAAATAATTTTTTTAATAGCCAGGCTCTTTTCAACCTCCAACTATTCTCTTGCTACTGTTGTTTTTCCTTTGAGCAGGTGTTTTGTGGAAGTCTCCTATTCAAGTACAAACTCTGCTTAATTTTGAAAGCTCACAAGCTGACAGCCCCAGGAGGTATGATACTACAGATCATGCACTCTCAGAGAATAACTCTGATGTTTTTTTATCACCTTGTTCTAACTCACTATCTAAAAACCTAGGAGAGATTTCATAACTATGGTTTTTAAGAACAGAACTCTAACTTTCAAATGTCTTTCACTTATATATTTGCTTGCCTATTTGACCCACAAAGATCCGAAACTTCACAGGGCATCAATATCTTTCATTTTTATGCTTGATATGTCTACTCTGTGACAAGAATTATGATCATGAGGAAAAGGAAAGATTTCTGTGCTTTCTCAGCTAAAGACTCATGCTAGGCTTACCTCTTGACCTACATCTCAACTACCCTATTTAAAATGACACAATTGCTACTATTTTACCCTTTTATGTGTGAATCCAAGATTCAGATAAAGATTAACCAGCTATTGTTCAGCACATTAAAGCCTAAACCACTTTTTCCCCTTTGGCCATTCTGAGTGAAGCAAAAACCAGTTTTACTATGTTTGCCCAAAGACAATAATAGTTGATTTCCTAACACTCCCCACCCATCTTTCTCAATCTTCCAAAACCATTTTTTTTTTCCAACAAATCCCCTTTCTCTCAAATGAATAATATTTAATAGCTGGATTCTTTTTTTTTTAATATTTTTATTTATTTCTAGGGGAGAGAGAGAGAGCGTGAGAAGGGGAAGGTCAGAGAGAGAGGGAGACACAGACTCCGAAATAGGCTCCAGGCTCTGAGCTGGCAGTCAGCACAGAGCCTGACGCGGGGCTCGAACCCACAAACCGCGAGATCATGACCTAAGCGAAAGTCGGACGCTCAACCGACTAAGCCACCCAGGCGCCCCTAATAGCTGGATTCTAATAAACGTGACTAGATGACCTTTCTTGCCTGATAGGAAGGGTGGCTTTACTCAAAGGAAGTACATTTTGACATAAATGGGTTCAACAACATAGAACTGGAAAGGAAAGGAGACATCCTCTACAGATAATCCAATCTCTTCATTTTAAAGAAAAGGAAAGTCAATTTAGTGGAGGAAGGATAGTGTTTTTAACAATAGGATACTGTTAAAATAGTAGGGAAACAATAGGAAATGCGTAGGCTGAAACTTCCCCAACACACCCCCCTCCTCGCAAAAAAAAAAAAACCCAACAACAACAACAACAAAAAACCATCAACCTAAATTTCACACCGTATAAATATTAATTCAAAATGGGTCATGGCTTTAAATGTAAAATATAAAACTATAAAGAAGACGAAAGTGAAGTTCAACAAAAGAAGTTGGTTTGTTGAGGCACCTGGGTGGCTCAAATGGTTGAGTGTCCAACTTCAGCTCAGGTCATGATCTCATTCATGGTTGGTGAGTTTAAGCCCCACCTGGGGCTTTGCGCTAACAGCGCAGAACCTGCTTGGGATTCTGTCTCTCTTTCTCTCTCCCCCTCGCTTGCTCATGTACTCATGCTCTCCCTCTCTCAAAAATAAGTAAACATTAAAAAAAAAAATTTTTTTTTAGAGAACTTGATTTGTCAAAGGTGGCCCAGTTACTCAGGTTTCAGTTTGCTTCCATAAATTATCATTCACCATTTTAACAAATCCCATTTGGCTCTGATAATTTCCCTTCTCCCCACTCACTCAGAGTAAATGGTTTCCACTATATTAACTGGATATTTGTACATGCTCTTTTGGTTTTTTAATATCTTCTTCAGGCCATTTCAATTATTCATTCATTCAACATTTCCTGGGTGACCACAATGTGCCAGGCATCATGTAGGATTACAGAGATATAAAATAATACTGTTCACATAGCAAGAGCTTGATGATCTAATGGGGGAGAAATTAGACTATCAGCCTAATTAAATAAAAAATTCCTTTAGGGGCGGGCGCCTGGGTGGCTCACTCCGTTTTGCCAGGGACTCTTGATTTCTGCCCAGGTCATGAGACCCACGTTGGGCTTTGCGAGGATTTCGGGGAGTCTGCTTGGTATTCTCGCTGTCTCTCTCTCTTTAAAAAAAGAAAAAGAAAAAGAAAAAAATTCCTTTGGTGCAAGCACTTCATTTTCACCAGCAAGTACATGATGTACTGCACACCCCCTCCCATGCTCCGCACATCTGAACACACGTCAGTGATTGGCCAATCTTGTTTCAAGGCATTTTCTCTCCTGCGCTATTTGGGGAACTAAAGTCCAAGGAGATTAAATGGCACGTCCTGGATAAGGTGGAAAAGAAGCCAAGGTCATTCCGTGGGGACCCACCCCAGCTCTGTCATCTCCTGGTCTGTGCCAAGAATAGATTTTGGCAGAATACCTCCATGTCTGAAGAAAACCCGACCTAGCTAAATTCACCTCAAACCTCCACACCCGCCCCCCATCCCGACTGCTTGGCCCCTGATTACCCTTGCTGTTTCCTCACCAAGACTCCTTCCTCCTTTTCCACCGAAATCTGAATTCAATAGCTACTTTGATAGCGGGAATACCGGTGTTCCCAGTACAATTATCGCCACTCTTTTTTTTTTCCTGGTATATGTGAAAATTTTCGAAATCGAGCGGTGAGGGCGGGGTGGGGGAGGTGTTATCTAGAAGCTTCTTGGTCTTTTTTCTTCCACCCCTGCCTACCCGCCTCAGCGAAATACTTTAAAATAAAACTTAAAGCTTCAAGTAAAAGGAGAGGAAAAGCAAAAAAAATTAACCTAAGAACATGGAAGTAACAATGCTCAAGCGCCCGCTTTCTCTGGAGACCTTGCGTCTGCACAGCCCTCGCCTCAGCTCCTCTAGGTCTCTCTCAGATCTCTCGGGATACCCAACGGCCTTTTCGAGCCCAAACCCTCTCGGGCTCATGAATAACCAACGAGGCCCTTCTGGGCGGAGCAAGACGCTTCCTCATGAATAATTCATTACCTCTCGGCAGCTAGCACGGGCGGCCCGCCTCCTTCGGCTTTATGAATATGCAAAAAGGTGCCAGAGGCGGCTAACCGCCTTCTGGCTGTCGCTGCCCCCTCAGCGCCGGCGTCGTCCGCGCCTGGCCTCCTTCGTTCTGGGTTCCCAGCTACATGCCCTCCAGTCGCCGGCGCCGCGTTTCTCCCACCGCCTTCTTGCCCTTCCTAGGGCTTGCCACGCGCTCGCGGGCCTGAGGGACCTGTGCCTGGCTCGCGGCGCCGCGAACCTCGACGGGGCCTTCCTCTCAGGACCACTCAGCTTGTGCAGCCAGTACTTCGAGGACAGCCTGTCTCTGGGCTTGCTGAGGAGACGCCTACCGGCGCAGGTGAGGCGACGGCGGGGAGGTCGACGCGGGCGGTGCTGGGTTAAAAGCCCGGAGGACCGCAGGGTTATTGCAGGCCTGGGACCGGGACTGGCAGGAATGGGAGTCGGGGGAAGGGGCGGCCAGAGAGGCATGAGGCCAGTGCAGAGCGGGGTTAGGGAGAAGCATCTAGAGCCTTGGCAGACGGGTGTCAAAGCGGAATCGGGAGCTAGAAGTCTAGAGACAGACGTTTTAATCCTTGAGGGTATCTCACGACTTCCCTAACATAGACCCAACTGTGTGTTATTTTGAACTTCGACTTGTAATTACGCAAATGAAACCTGAGCCAGGTGATCCCTGTAAGCAGTCGGGTGTGGGTCTCCTCAGATCCTCTCTCGCGCATACAGGGACATGTTCGGTACCTTGTGAAGCTTTTCTAAGTTCGTGAGGTCCTTCGAACCTCTGCAAGCGGCTTTATTAGAAGGTGGATAAAAGAAGCATGGCGGCATTTGAAATCTGATTTTACTTTGTTTCTGCAGTGAAGGAAAAAAGATCCCAGCTAGTAAAAACATGAGTTTATAACATAGTGACTAAGCCATAATTTGGGTTAAAATAGTTCTTTGGTGAAGGTTTTTAAAAAATGTTTATTTTGAGAGAAAGTGCATGCGCGATGAGGGGAAGAGAATCCCAAGCAGGCCTCACGTTCAAGGCAGAGCTGGACCTCATCACCAAGGGAGCCTGACCTGAGCTGAAGAGTCTGCAGTTAAACTGAGTGAGCCACCGAGGTGTCCCAAGTGTAGGTTTTCTCAACCTCTCCCTGCCAAATGTGATAGCTCCAAATTTCTCCAGATGTAGTCAAATGTTCCCTGAGGCGCAAAATCACCCTTGGTTGAGATCAACTGATTTAATCCTAAACTTTACAGAAGTAATTGCTCTTTAAGCTCCAGCCTGACAGATGGTCTCTCTCCTCCAGTCCTTTTCGGTGGCATCAGTCAGTATTTACCAGCTTCCCTCTGGGGGGGATTATCTGCCCTCAAGTCTCAGCTTTGCTAACTATCTGCAAAGAGCCTTCGCCCTCTACGCTGTTCTAATGAAAGTTTATCCCTCTCCATACTGCACAAACACAATTACTATCTCTCATTACTACTGTTTTCTTCCCTAAATCTATCACAATATGGATTTCATTTATTTGCTGATCTGTTTTTCTTCACCACCCAGAATACAGTAAGCTGTAGTAGAGGCCTCATCCATCTGGGTCACTCTTGGATCTCTAGTAACCAGCCCATGCCTGGTACACAGTGATCACTCAGAAAACATTGGTGGATGGGAACAATAAACAACCCTCTCTTCCTCCTAAGTACGTCTGTGGAGTTTCTCCTACTCCTTTCCATCCTGCTGGGCTTGTGACCTTTGTTTAGAACTTGAATGGAAGACTGAGCACCTAGAAGCTGTGAGTAAAGTCTTCACTTTTCCCACTGACTTATCCACTCACAGAAACTGTCCAATTAAGGACATTGAAGGTATTCATATAGTTGAATGAACCAGTCTGTGACTTTAAGGAACAATATTAGACAATTAAAATTTGATAGTACCACTGGGGGCTTTAGAGATTATCAGTTTAGCGGTACCTGGTTGGCTCAGTCAGTTGAGCCTTGACTTTTTGATTTCAGCTTGTGTCATGATCTCAGGGTCGTGGGATCGAGCCCCATGTCAGGCTCCAGGCTCAGTGCAGATTCTCCCTCTCCCCCCCACCCCCATCAGAGTGCTCTCTTTCTCTTAAAAAAAGAGAGAGAGAGAGAGAGAGAAGGAAATAGGAAAGGAAGGAAGGTATTTTATGGATGAGAGCTTTAATAATTTGTGCAAAGTCCTCAAGCTTGTTAAGAGACCAAGTCACAAGTCTCACACCTCTCTTTCAAGTCTGTTTTCTAGTCTCCAGCCAGTCTAGTTTCTTATTCCTTTTCTGTGAAAATAATTTAGAGCTCAAACATGAAAATCCAAAGCCAAAGACCTGCTTCTCATCAACTAGAAGCCTTTGAGCTTGTACTCTTCATCTTTTGATTAAATCTACCCCAGGGATAATGGCCTAATATTCAAACAATTACCCATCTTCTCTTGTACCTTTCAGTGATTAGAGATTGGAAATTGTCCCCATCAGAGCAAAGTTCCTTGTTTATTTTGGAAGGAAAAATGTACATTGTGGGAGAAATTGATCATTGCGTACAAATTTCCAAATAACCAGTTAAAGTTTGGCCAAACCCTGTATCCAGTAGAAAAATAACATATGAAACAAATTAAGATGAAGAAGGGAAATCTCTTTTGAGATTACTTTCATTGCCTAACACTCTTTAGACATGTATGGTTCCTTTTACGCTGTGTTTCTGAAACAGTTGTCACTCTTCATAATCAATCTTTGGTTAGACCCTTGTTTTTTGAGAGCTAAAGACCATTTTTTCCTTCTCAATTAAATTCAGGGTGTCTTCTTTTCCCTTCTTGATTATTTTATATAGGCAGCACCTGGTTAGTTGAGTCTTGCAGCATCCTTTCAGCTGTTAGGATTGTGGAGTTTTTTTCTGAACCATCTGATAGCACTTTTAGTCATAGGGAGTAGATACTATTTAAATGTCTGACTGGAACTTTCCCCATAAAGTTCAATTTAAGCTTGGAAGTCTTCTCCAAAAGAGGGTTTACATGAAGTTTGTCAAAAATAGACGTATTGAATATAAAATATATTTTTTATGTTTATTATTGAGACAGAGAGAAACAAGAGCATGAGTGGGAGAGGGGCAGAGAGAGAGGGAGACACAGAATCTGAAGCAGGCTCCAAGCTGTAAGCATAGGGCCCGACGTGGGGCTCGAACCCACAAACTGTGAGATCATGACCTGAGCCGAAGTCGGTTGCTTAACCAACTGAGCTACCCAGGCGCCCCTAAAATATATTTTCAAGAGGACATCTTTAGATGCAGTTTCCTCTTCAGTATACACAACCATGATAACAAATACAGAGAAAAGAAATTGGGGTGGAGGGAGAAACTAAGTGTGAAGGGTAGTTTCTTTATCCTCTTTACTTTTGCCTTTTATTAGAACTCTTAAAATCATAACTTCTGGGGCACCTGAATGGTTAAGTGTCCGACTTCGGCACAGGTCATGATCTCATGGTTCGTGAGTCTGAGCCCCGCTTTGGGCTCTGTGGTGACAGCTCGGAGCCCAGAAGCTGTTTTGGGTTCTGTGTCTCCCTTTCTCTCTCTGCCCCACCCCGACTTGTGCTATGTGTCTCTCTCTCAAAAATAAATAAACACTAAAAAATTTTTAGGGGTGCCTGGGTGGCTCAGTCAGTTGGGTGGCCAACTTCAGCTCAGGTCATGATCACACGGTTCGTGGGTTCGAGCGCCGCATCGGGCTCGGTGCTGACGGCTAGCTCAGAGCCTGGAGCCTGTATCAGATTCTGGTTCTCTCTCTCTCTCAGAAATAAATAAAATGTTTAAAAAATTTTTTTAAATGGATTAAAAAAATCATAACTTCCAGTCTTCATAAAGCTAACACCACCATAGGCATTTATTCATCAAGCATTTATTTTATACCTGCCCTTTATAAAGCACTCTGCTTGCATTGTGGGGACCAGAGAGATAATAATTTGGTCTCTGAGCTATGGAAGTTCACGGTTTAGTAAGAGAGAATGCCTGTAAACACATTACTCACGTAGAAAATATTAATGCAAATATTAATGGAAGTATAAATTATAAGATAGAATGGAGAGAAGGAAGCTACGCATTTTAAATAATGAATCAATACAGCTTCACAAAGAAGGTAGCATTTTAGGAGGAGAACACGTGTATATAATATCCTTTGCTCATTCTTTGGCAATGGTTAGACAACTTCATTTGTGTGTCATCCTTGCGCAGGGGCCATGCTAATCTTCTCTGTATCATTCCAATTTTAGTTATATGTGCTGCTGAAATGAGCACGTAGACAACTTCAAACCAATAAAAGCAGACATTTTGCCCACCACTTTAGAACTAGGAAAGAAAAGGAGGTGTAAGATCCTTTTTTTCCCCCCATTCCTGGTAGCAGCATGCTTCTGAAAGCTAAATGTTACCTTAACAATCGTAAATGCCTCATTTATAGTTAAGAGGAGAGTGCCAGCTGCATTATTTCAAGCCCTTCTTTCTACATTATGGTGCTATTTTATTCTGGTCTCTATTGGGGCATATAGTAGCCATGAGATTTTTAAATATTTATTTATTTTCAGTGGTGTTTGTAAATATGTTTGTGACTCTGGAGTCCCAGAATTTTAAGTATCACTGAGAAGAGACAAAATGATTTAGAGAACTTAAGTTTTCTTTTTTTAGTTTTTTAATGTTTTTATTTTATTTTTGAGAGAGAGACAGAGCATGAACTAGGGAAGGGCAGAGAGAGAGAGAAACACAGAATCTGAAGTAGACTCCAGGCTCTGATCTGTCAGCACAGAGCCTGATGCGAAGCTTGAACTCATGAAACACAAGATCATGACCTGAGCCAAAGTTGGACACTTAAACGGCTGAGCCACCCAGGCACCCGAGAACTAAAAGTTTTGAATCAGGCTTCTATATGTAAACTAGCTACATTGCCTAACTTATTTAGAGTAATTTTTAGAGAGAAAGGCAAAGAGAAAGAATTACCAACTTGTTTTAGCTTTTGAACTTGATCTATTCTTTGGCAGCCAAAGAGAAGATAGTCAATATGAAAGAAGTCCAGCTGTAAGTAAGGTCTCATAAGCTTCTGCTGCTTCTGCCAGTACCCTGGCAATGTACAAAATATAATTCCATGTGTAGGTGACAATTTATCATGCCCTTCATGGCCATTCAGAGGTGCATATTGATTTCTACATCCTTTGAATTCATCTTTTCTAACTGGCAGAAGAATCTCCTTGTGGGTTGTATGTTTCTGAGGAAAACCTAGTGTTTAATGAATTGGAACAGGAAATGACAGAGGCTATAAGGGACAAGTTGCTGCCTGCTTGAGTGCCCTAAGAAATGATGTTAAGGAAGGTAATAATTCTGAAACATTATAAAAATGCTACTTGATTCTCTTTTCTGCTGACTATGAAGTTTTGGTGACATGTAAAATGATGTTACGCCTCCTAATGTTTACATTTAATAGGAAAGATTGCAACTGAAATAGATTTTAAACTGGTTTTTCATTACTGCTACTTGGAACTTCTGCCTAGAGATCTGAAATGAGGTGATGTTCAAAATCTACCACAGTACTGACAGCCTGTATTTGAAGCCCTTTATTTCTTACACATTTTGATGCTTGGAATGTGACAGTTACCATAAAAATGGTCTAGAACTCCTGAGACCATAGTGCAGCCTCTACCCTATGAGAGGCTTTTTTTCTTCCTTTAATTTATACTAGCTCAATGATAAATGTGTATTAATGACCTCTGGTTAAGAAGGTTCTTAATTTAAGATTCAGAATACTTATGATCTTAATCTTAGCACAAATTGAATGCAAATATAAGACATTTGAGGCAGGATTTTCTTTCTTGCTTTCTTTTAAATTATTGCCCCTTTAGCCTTTTAAATTTTTTTTAATTTTTTAAATGTTTTATTTATTTTTGAGAGAGAGATAGAGGCAGCGTGAGCAGGGGAGTGTCAGAGAGAGAGGGAGACACAGAATCTGAAGATAGGCTCCAGGCTCTGAGCTAGCTGTCAGCACAGAGCCCGATGCGGGGCTCGAACCCACAAACCGTGAGATCATGACCTGAGCTGAAGTCGGATGCTTAGCCAACTGAGCCACCCAGGCACCCCTTCCCTTTTTTTAAAAAGTAACCTCTACACCCAGCATGGGGCTCAAACTCATGACCCAGAGATCAAGAGTCACATGCTCTACTGACTGAGCCAGCTGGGTACCCCCAATACATGATTTTCTAACATCTCTTCTCATTAAACAAACAAAAAGCAATTTCTTTCTGCAAAGAGAAAGATTTAACAACTGAAAAGTGAGTAAGACATTAACAGGAAAATTACGTATGTACATAGCTTTTAAAAATGGAAGGGAGAAAGAATTTCAAGATCTCATTTGGAGATTTACTGTGACTTACACCTAAGAAAATTCCCAGAAAGCCAGATTCCTGTGAAAGCCATATTTTCAAATATGCCAGGGGCTACGTTAATCTTGGTCATATTAGTTCACAGCACAGAAAGATTTACTGTAGTAAGAGGCATTGGGAGAATTCAAAATATGACCTTATCAATCATCTGTGGACATCTCTCCCCCTTTATTTGTTGAAGAGTGCCTAGACATAGGACATAATCAGTACACATTGAATGAATGCATAGATGTTGGAAGAACTCCAAATATCCCAGTGATGAACTGGATGTGTTCAAATTATGCTTAATGGAGTTGATCTTTGAAAAGGTGCATTGCAAATTTCCTGTTTTTGTTGTTAGTATTATTTTTCCATTTATCCTAATTTAAAATCATTATCTTTTATTGTTACCTTTTTTCGAGTATAGTGTACACACAGAAAACTATCCTTTCTTTAAAATGTACTTTTTATTGGGACACCTGGGTGGCTCAGTCAGTTAAGCTTCTGACTCTTGGTTTCGGCTCAGGTCATGATCACACAGTTCGTGAATTCCAGCCCTGCATCAGGCTCTGCCGTGACAGCATGGAGCCTGCTTGGGATTCTGTCTCCTTCTCTCTCTGCCTCTCCCCTCCTTCCTCTTTGTATCTTTCTCAAAAAGTAAATTTAAAAAAGGAGGGGCACCTGGGTGGCTTAGTTGGTTAAGCATCCCACCTTCGGTTCAGGTCATGATCTCATGGTTTTGGGTTCAAGCCCTATGTCAAGCTCTGTGCTGACAGCTCAAAGCCTGAAGCCTGCTTCAGATTCTGTGTTTCTCTCTCTCTCTGCCTCTCCCCTGCCCACACTTTGTCTCTCTCTCTCTCTCTCTCTCAAAAATAAACATTAAAAATTTAAAAACAAAACAAAAAAATGAAATGTACCTTTTATTTACATATACATAAAATTCATTAAAGTGTACAAATCAATGGTTTTAAGTATATTTATATAAAGTGGTATAATCACCACTAATTCCAGAACATTTTTATCAGCCCAAAAAGAAACCCCATGCTCAACAGTGATCATTTCTTTCTCCCCTAACCCCTATCAACCATTAATCTACTTCTTTTCCTCTATGGATTTGACTGTTCTGGATATTTCACATAAATGAAATCATATAATATATAGCTTTTTGTATCTGGTTCTTTAGTATAAAAATTAAAGTGTGATATTCATGTTATAGCATGTAGCATATTAATACTTCATTTCCTTTTATGGCTGAACAATATTCCGTTGTATGGATATGCCACATTTTGTTTATCCATTCATCAGTTGATGGACATTGGCTTGTTTTCACTTTTTGGCTATTAAGAATAATCTTCCTGGGGTACCTGGCTGTCTCAGTCAGTAGAGCATGTGATTCTGTTTTGTTTTATTTAATGTTTGTTTATTTTTGAGAGAGAAGAGAGACAGAGTGCAGTTTGGGGAGGGGCAGAGAGAGAGAGACACACACACACACACACACACAAACACACACACACACAGAATCTGAAGCAGGCTCCAGGCTCCGAGCTGTCAGCACAGAACCTGTCTCAGGGCTCAAGTTCACGAACCATGAGATGATGACCTGAGCGTAAGTTGGATGAATGCTTAGACAACTGAGCCACCCAGGCACCCCTAGAGCATGTGATTCTTGAGCTCAGGGTCATGAGTTAGAGCCTCATTGGGCATGAAGCCTACTTAAAATGAAAAAGAAATTTAAAAAAATAATCCTCCTGAATATACATTTTCCAAAGAAAATATACAGGTGGCCAAGAGACCCATGAAAAAATGCTCAACATCTCTAATCATAAGGGAAATGCAAATCAAAACCGCAATAAGATTTATCATCTCACATGGGCTGGAATAGCTAGTATCAAAAAGACAAATAACAAATGCTGGTGAAGATGTGGAGAAAAGAATTTAAAAAATTTTTTTAGGTTTTTAATCGGGGCACCTGGGTGGCTCAGTGAGTTGAGTGTCCAACTTGGACTGAGGTCATGATCTCGTGGTTGGTGAGTTTGAGCCCCACATCAGGATCACTGCTGGTCATCCTGTCAGGAGAGAGCCTCTGTTCCCCTCTCTCCCTCTCCCCTCCTGTGTTCTGCCCCTCCTCAAAATTTTTAAGTGTTAATTTTAATCACCCAGTGCTCCTCACACAAGTGCACTCCTTAATCCCCATTATCTGTTTCACACCTTCCCCCACCTTCCTTTTGGTAACTATCAGTTTGTTCTCTATAGTTGAGAGTCTGTTTTTTGTCTTGTCTCTCTTTTCCCCCCTTTTGCTCCTTTGTTTTGTTTCTTAAATTCCACATATGAGTGAAATCATGGTATTCATCTCTCTGACTTATTTCACTTAACATTATACTCTCTGGCTCTATCCATGTTGTTTGCAAATGGCAAGATTTTTTCTTTTTTTATGACAATAATATTCCTGTGTGTGTATACACACTTACACCACATCTTCTTTATCTGTTCATCTATCAATGGACATGGGCTGCTTCCATAGTTTGGCTATTGTAAATAATGCTGCAGTAAACATAGAAGGCATGTATGTATCCCTTTGAGTTAGTGTTTTTGTATTCTTTGGGTAAATACTCAGTAGTGTGATTGCTGGATCATGGGGTAGTTCCATTTTTAACTATTTTTTAAGATTTTATTTTTAAATAATCTCTACACCCAATATGGGGCTTGAAGCTTATAACCCTGAGATCAAGACTTGCATGCTCTATGCATGGAGCGAGCCAGGTGCCCCTATTTTTAACTTTTTGAGAAACCTCCATACTGTTTTCCACAGTGGCTGCACCAATTTGCATTCCCACCTAGAGTGCAAAAGGGTTCCTTTTTCTCCACATCCTTGCCAACTTGTGTTGTTGTTTTTAG